CAAAAATATATAACTAAAAAGCTAATAGAGGAGAACATGGAATAATAAAAAATAATTTGATTTCTCTAGAGAAATGCAAGAAAATAGAAGTGAAGGAATAAAACATGAGACAAAACAAATGACAGGATGGTAGACTTCAACTCAGCTTTGTCAGTAATTATAATAAATGTAAAAGGAACAAGCACTCAAGACAAAACTCAGAACACCTTACTATATACTGTTTATAAGTGGCAGTTTAAATTTAAGGGCACAGATGAGTAAGTAAAAGAATGGGAAAAATTTAACACATGTACATTAATTAAAAGAAACCTGAGCCCGGCCAGTGTGGCTCACTGATTTAGCATGGACGCATACACCAAGAGGTTGCCGGTTCGATTCACCGTCTGCACACACCCAGGTTGTGGGCCAGATCCCCCGTGGAGGGCATGCAGGAGGCAGCCAGTCGATGTTCTCTCTCATCGATGTTTCTCTCTTTCTCTTCCTCTCCCTTCCTTTCTCTAAAATCAATAAAGAAAATAAGTAAATAAATAAAAGAAACCTGAGTTGACTATATATTTATGTCAGCAAAAGTAGTGATAAGGGCATTGCATAATATTGAAAGAATAAATTCAACAGGAAGATAATATTTAGGCATTTAATAATATAGTAGGTCTAAAACACAAAAATTGATAGAACCGTAAGATTATTATTTTTATTTTTAATCCTCACCCAAGGATGTTTTTATTGATTTTAAAGAGAGGGGAACATTGATCAGTTGTCTCCTATATGCTCCCCAACCAGGGATTGAACCCACAACCCAGGCTTGTACCCTGACTGGGAATCGAGCCTGCAACCTTTTGGTTTATGGGATGATGCTCCAACCAACTGAGCCACCTGGCCATGACCAGAACCAAAAGGTTAAAATAGACAAAGCCACAACCATAGTAGATTAATGTACTTTTCTTAGTAACTAATAGAAGAAAAGAGAAAAACAGATTTAAACAACACAGTTAACTTGACCTAATTGACACAAATAGAACACTTTACCCCACAACTCCAGGATATACAGTTGGCCCTTGAGCAGTATAATATGGGGGTTAGGATGCAGTAAAAAATCCATTTATAATTTTTGACTCTCCCGCAAATTTAACTACTTTTCAGTACCCACAGGGGATTGGGTTCAGGAACCCCTGCAGATCCAAAATCCAGACACTCAAGTATGAAATGGTATAGATCAGTGCATACGTTCAGCCCACTGCATCTATGGACTCCCAACTGCAGGTTGAAAATAGTACAGGTATTTATGGGGGTGAGGAGGGGGGGGGGTGACAGCTTATAAGTGGACTTGAGCAGTTCAAACCTGTGTCAAGGGTCAACTGTACATGCTTTTTAAATATGTATGAACCACTTACTAAAATATATCATACACTATGCCGTAAAGCAAATCTCAATGAATTTGAAAGAAGTACGATCTCAGTTATGTTCTCTGACTTCAGTGATGATAAACTAGGAAGCAGTAGCAGGTAACTAGAAAATCCTCAAATATTTAGAAATTAAGCAATGTAGTTTTGCATATTTTATTGGCTAAAGAAGAAATAGCAATAAAAATTATAAAATATGTTGACCCAAATATTAATGAAAATAGGTGTCAAAACTTGTGCATTTATAACTAAAAGCAATGCTTAGAGGGATATGTATAGCTTTTAATATATGTAGTTTGTTTGTTTGTTTGTTTTTATCCTCACCCAAGGACATTTTTTCTATATTTTGTTCAGATAGAGTGGGAGGGGGAGAGAGAGAGAGCAACATGAACGTGAAAGGGACACATCAAGTGGCTGCCACCCTCACGACCAACTAGGGCCAGGGACAAACTGCAACCGAGGTACATGCCCTTGGCGGGAACTGAACCCGGGTCTCTCCAGACCATAGGCCGAAGCTCCAACCGCTGAGCCAAACCGGCCAGGGCTAATATATATAGTTTTAAAAAAGAAAGGTTGAATATTAAGCTTCTATTTCAAGACAATAGAAGAACAAGCGAATTATAACCAAAATAGAAGGAAAATATAATAAAAACAGTAAAAAGCAGATATATGATTCTTAAAAATGAGATCATTGAAAGATTAATAAAATTGATAAATCCCTAGGAAGACTGATAGTATAAAAAATAGAAAACACCCAAGAAAGATGCAAGAGACATCACCATTAAAGGAGACTAAGAAATGGAACAAATAAATGTAATAGTGTAATCCTGGATTGAACTCTACTAGAAGGGAAGAAAATGCTATAAAGGACGTGAATACGACAGTTACTGGAATAGTAGTTTATTATTTAGGGTAAAGGTTTGTGTGAATATTAAATTCCCTGAATCTAATGACTTGTACTAGGGTTGTATCAGAGGATATTCTTAGAAGATATATACTGATGTGTTAAAGAATAAAGGGGCATCATTATGCAATCTTCTCAAATGGTTCAGAGAAAAGTAATAGATATTTTTAAGGGAAATAAGATGAATAACTTAATGCTGATAAATTTGATAATTTTAAAACTCATCTTGGCAAAACTGATACAAGGTATAGAAAATATCGTTAGTTTTATATGTGTTAAAGAAAATTCTAGGCCCAGATGATTTCACTGGTGACCTAAACATTTAAAGAACTTTCAATTTTATATAATTTTATACAGTTTCTTAACAGAAATTTGAAAAAGAGATAACATAAGGGAGCGCTGCTTTTGAATTGAAAGATTGCTTGGATTGCCCTGAGCTATTTACCCTATTCTCCCAAACATTCTGCTAATTTATTCCTAAAATATGGTCATTTGTCAAAGGCTTAATCTTGAGAACCTTCAGCCTCTATAACTGCATTTCATCAACTCTTAGATGTGATTGATTGTGAAATGCACTATTATGTGCCACTGGAGTGGGGGGGGTACTTCCAATTACAGCTGTAAGAAAATATTGTTTGCAGAGTATATTGCAATTTCAAAGATATTAATTGGGGGAAAAACATGCATCTCAGAATCAGAAACTTAGGACGTTTTGCCTGGTGTATTTTTTGTTTGGGCAAATTTTTAGTTGCTGTGGATTGGCAGGACTTACCGTTGAAGCAGTTTTAGCTCTGTAAAATATTAGTCGAAGTGCACCTTAGTGTAACCTAAATTGCTCACTTGAGAGGTCATAATTAGAGACATAATTTACAGAGAAAATTAAATATGAGATAAAATATTCACCATTGTAATTTTTGGTCACTTTAAATTGACACATCAAAGTGACTGACCCACACTAGTTTCAACCTAATATTGGTAACCTAAGAAGTGCTTTTTGTTTTTTTCCTTTATTGATTTTAGAGAGAGAGGAAGTGAGAGGGAGAGAGAGAGAAACATCGTTGAGAAAGAATATCTATTGGCCACCTCCTGCATGCCCCCACTGGGGATTGGGCCCACAACCTGGGCATGTGCCCTGACTTGGAATCTAACCGGCAACCTCTTGGTGCATGGGTCAGTGCTCAACCGCCAAGCCACCCTGGCCAGACTAAGAAGTGTTTTATTGCTATAGAATCACACAAATTTTGGAAAGTTTGAGTTGTGTATTTGTCATTTGAAAGCAACCAGTGATCTTTACTCTTTCAAAGAGAATACTTTTTTTCCTCTTGACCTAAAACAGATATTTTATGCCCTGATGGTAGAAACTGTATTTTTCACCATCATTTCCCACAGTTAAAACTTAATGCCAAGATTAAGAATTGTTCCTTTTACAGGGCATTGAATCTAAGCTAGTATTATCCATACTTAATGGAAGATACAAAGTTAGATGTCTATTTTGGTCTTAGAAAAATCCAAATGTGCATGGGAAGTAGGTAATTGATGCTTGAGAGCTAGTTAAGCTAAGTTCTCATAAGAAAGTAAGTAGTTCCACTGATCATTGTTTCTAATTTCAGGGATGGTCTTATTAACTCACTTGCTAAAGCACATTTCAACATTTGTCTCTGTCTCCTTTTTGTTACTTATATTATATATTATTATGTTAATGGAAAATATACATGGATTGTCTTTGGCAATTTTTTTTTTTTCATTTCTTTTAAGCCTCTCTTGCCCTGACAAAAGAATCATAGCAACTTTTAGTAAGAAATGTGTGGACTTAATTATAAATGGAAAAAAGTAGGGGTATATAAAGATGTAGTCTCTGTTTTCTTTGTTTAAATGTCTTTTGAGTTTTGAATGGGATCTAGCCATGTATTTAGAGGCTAAAGAGAAAGGTCGAGTGGAGGAGATAACGAGAGGAAAAGATTACAAGTTCAATTCAGTAGGAGAAATAAGGAGCTCCCTATGTACTGTTTCTCCTCACTCCATCCCAGAAGTTACTAGGAACCATATTAGTTAGTGAATTTTATTTGCTCATTCATATGAAAAATGCTTTTCTCCATCTAACTAGCTTGTAGAATTTTTAATATAATGCCCTATTGTAAACATAATGCATTAAAATTTATTAAATATCTGGCACTTTTGAAAATTCTTGTTATTAGAAAATAGAAATGGTAGTTGCTAAAATTCTTGGGACTGCTGATAATATCCCAAGGAAGTGTGTGAAGCTAAATCACTTACTGAGAGCTAATTTTCATCACCTTCCTTTCTGCAGAGCCACAGCTTCTTAATGATGCTTTGGCCTTTTACTATTAAATGCAAGACTTTGCTGAGAGAGTAGGGGAGACAATCAATGGTGCTGTCCCTGATACCTTTTAGGTCTCTTGGGCTGTGAGGCCTCAGGTTGTCCACTGGAGAGCAAAGGAGATCTGCATTTTCATGGTAGCAGCCTTATGGAGCATCATGAACTAGCAACAGTGGAGATAGAAGCTAAAGATCATATGATAACCTTACTGTTAGCCCTAGGACAAAACAGGGTATCTGGTAGTTTGCTGCCTGTGTGACTTTTCTGATTTTCAAGATATGGGCATGACTCTTTTCTAAAGATTATTATTTTATAGATAAGTTTCAGAAAACTGACCATTTTATTCACTGTTTATCAGTACGAGGATGTCGTCCAGGAAAGATTGTGCAGATGACTGAAGCAGAAGTTCGGGGCTTATGTATCAAGTCTCGAGAGATCTTTCTCAGCCAGCCTATTCTTTTGGAATTAGAAGCACCGCTGAAAATTTGTGGTAAGTAAATGGGTCAAGTTGGAAGCAGTCTCTTTTGAATCCTGGTTTTTCTCCCATATTTACATTGAAGATGATCTAGAGAAAACATTTTAATGTTTTTGTAATAAAAAAAAATTGATAGGTTTTATTTTATAAAATTCTATAAAAATTGAAACTTTCATGAAATGGCAAGTTACAGACAAAATATTTGCTGCATATACAACAGATAAAAACATCACGATTCATACTATGTAGAGTTTTTATAAATAAGAAAAAGACAGTACAATAAAAAGTAAAAGAGTCAGATCTTAGAAGAAATTCAAATTGCCAATAAATAAATGTAAGATCTTCATTCTTACTAGTAATCAGGGAAATGCAATTTAAAAACAAATCCTGAATACTAATCAAATTGGGAAAAAAAAGTAAGAAATTGATATCCAGTGTTAAAGAAGTGGCGAAATAGGCATGTCAGTACACTGGTTAGAAAAAAACAGGTACAGAGTTTTGGGGTCAGTATGACACTATTCATCGTATTCTAGCTTTGTTGTGATCATTTTGATTTGTTTTGAAAATTATGTAACTTACAGCTCTTTTAAGTCTTAATAGTGGCTTTTGACCAACAGCAAAACCTTATGACCTTAAGTATTAAGTAGAGTGATCACATTTTTCAATAGTTCACCTAACATTGAGAAGTGGTATATAATGTATTGTACTGGCTTTTGGTTTAATAACGCAGTTTTTCTTGGTAGTGGCTATTAGTGTTTATGACATACCTTTTATAGACTTAACCATCAGTTTTTGCTCAAAGATTATTTGCTCTATGCAAAAAATTTTATCTGACCCTGTCAGGTGTGGCTCAGTTGATTGGAGCTTTGTTCCATGCACTGAAGGGTTGTGGGTTTAATACCCAGTTGGGCGAGTATGGGAGGCAACCAGTCAATGTTTCTCTCTCACATCAATATTTCTCCCTCCGTTTCCCTCACCCTCTTCATCTAGAACCAATGCAAAACATATATCCTTGGGTGCGGATTTGAAAAAAAAAAATTATTCTGCATGTTTCTTGGTGGTCTGCTATTTCTAACTTCTTGCTATTTGTTGTAACAAAATCACCTAAGTTAAACTACCAGATAATAAGATTAACTGTATTAGTTCTTTTTTGTTGTATAACAAATTACCTACCAAACTTTATGGCTTAAAACATTATCATCTTACTGTTTTTGTGAGGCAGGAATTTGGCCTCTTCTCAACTGGGTCCTCTTGTTCTAGGGGTCTCACAAGGCTACAATCAAGGTGTCATCTGGGGCTGTGGTCATCTCAAGGCTCAACTGGGAAAGGATTCAGTTCCTTATGGGCTGATGGACTGAGGGTCTCTGTTTCTAATGAGCAGGTGGCCAGAAACCTTTAGTTCTTTGCCATGTGTGCTTTTCCAAAATGCAGCTGGCTTCATCATTAAGAGTGAGAGAAAGCAAGAGAGTGAAAGTAAAATGGAAGTCACAATCTTTTGTAACATAATCTCTTATGTGACAGCCCCTCTCACTTTTGCTGTATCCTCTTTGTTAGGAGCAAGTCACTAACTACAGCCCACATCGAAGGGGAAAGGATTACACAAGGGAGTAAACATGAGGAATCATTTCATAGAAGGTGATTTTACCACAGTAACCAAATATTTTAAAACTGACTTATTCTATTTTTAGGAGATATTCATGGACAGTATACAGATTTACTGCGACTATTTGAATATGGAGGCTTTCCACCAGAAGCCAACTATCTTTTCTTAGGAGATTACGTGGACAGAGGAAAGCAGTCTTTGGAAACCATTTGTTTGCTATTGGCTTATAAAATCAAATATCCAGAGAACTTCTTTCTCTTAAGAGGAAACCATGAGTGTGCTAGCATCAATCGCATTTATGGATTCTATGATGAATGTAAGTAAAAATACAAACCTATTTTTTATTAATGGAAAAAATTTCTAATAATTTTCTATTCAAAAGAGTTCCTTTGATTCAGAGTTTTTCATAGGCCCAAGAAGAGAGCCTTTCATGAAAGAGGAACTTGAAACTGGGAAATGTTACTAATTAAATTGGTTCCATGGGATCTCTGGTCATGTTCTTTCAGGTTGACTGCAGCTTATTCAGCTGAAAGGCCCTTTTGTAATTAGTTTACATAGTGAAATATCCAAGTGGAACAGAAGTCACTATAGACAATAGCCCCTGGTTTTCTAGTGTCCGGTAAAGTTTTAGCTCTCAGCATTCTTGTGATGTGACAGAAACTCTTACTGGCTCTTATTGAGACATTCTATGAAGTTATTTAAAAAGTTCAAGTTTATTATTAGGATTTTAGTCAGTGCTTATAAACATAGATAAAGATACTGAGTATTCTGGGGTATCCTTATTTTTATTGTACAATTTTTCATCAGTATGAAATCACTGATTTGCTGTTGTGTGTGGTATTGCTTCCAAGTGTCATTACTGAATTCTCCCATTACATTTGAATTGGCCTTTTGTTTTTGTTAGAGTTTAGAAGTGAACATATATTTGGTTAATTACAATTCAGAACCAATTACAATAATTTTCGAGTTAAATTTATTGTTTTTTAGCACTGAGTTCTCCATTGGAATCTATTTTTGCTTTTCTCTATCCTTAAATATGATAGAATCCTATTCAAACTCCTGTCTTTTTTATTCATATAATCATCTATTTGACAAATGTTTAAGGAAGTATTATATGTCTGGCACTACTCTGTACACTGGGGATGCAGCATTGACAAGACAGAAGACCTCACTTGTAAGATCAAAGAGTACATAATGTAAAACTTTTTAAAAGTCACAGAAAAAATTCCTTAAATAAAAAATAAACTAGGGAAAAAAACCCCCATGGGTTAACATGTTATAGACAAAGGCTTAGTATCCTTAATAAATACAAAAGGCTTTTACAAATTAATTTTTAAACCAACAAAACATGAATGTGCATGTCACAAAGGAAGAAGTACAAGTAGGCATAAAGATTAATAGTTGGGCCCTGGCCAGTTTGGCTCAATGGTTAGAGCATTGGCATGTGGTCTGGAGAGACCCGGGTTCGGTTCCCGCTAAGGGCGCATATGTCGGTTGCAGTTTGTCCCCAGCCCTGGTTGATCGTGTGGGTGGCAGCCACTTGGTGTGTCCCTTTCACGTCGATGTTTCTCTCACTCTCTTCCTCTTTCTCCCTCCTACTCTGTCTAAACAAAAAATGGAAAAATGTACTCAGGTGAGGATTAAAAACAAAAAAAGGTTAATACTTGACATTGACCAAGATCCAGAAAAAGAGGTACTTTAGGCCAGTACTGGTAGGGGTATAAACTTACCACTTTTACTTAATTATATGTTATGATCTTCTGCAAGGAATATGTATTTTTTCCTTTTTCAAAAATATAAATTATTTTTTAAAGGCTCAGATGTTATCTCTAATAAAGCTTTACTACCTTTTAAACATTATCAAAGTAAATACTGATATTGTGAATTTGTTGATTTATTGAGTTTTCTCAGGTTAACTCCTTTAAGGATCTATCAATTTGGAATTGCTACAATATTAGAATTCCAGTCAGTCAGCCTCTCAGTGTGCTGCATTTCTAAAGATAGCATGGATCTGAACACACCGCCCTCCATTCCCTTCCTGTATCCACGGTGTGGATACGCCCTGGAAGTCTAGTCAGTGTAATCAATACTTTGGGCCTACGAGAAATAATATAAAACTGTTGGGACTGTTCTTAGCTAGTTCATCTAAATTCTAAATCCCAAATATCTAACCAGTTGAAAACTGGCCTCAGATATATAGTGTTTACCAGCCATTTATTCAGTCATCTATAACCCTTATTTGTCATCCCAAAATTGGCAGGTATGTCAAGCATGAACACAGTATTGAATATTAAATGTATGGTGTATTTACTCTCTTTCTTCCACAAGCTACTGAATGGTCCAAGGGACTATTTAGCTAATAAGTATATTAGGATGTAAAAAAGAAAGAAAAATAAAACTTCAAATATTACTCATATTCCAATTTCCTCTTGATTATTAACTATCTTGCAATAAATATTTCAGTCTTTCAACATCAAAATTGGATGATACGGACTCCAGTAGAAGAAATGACAGATGTATAATAATAGGGAGAAGGTTAGTCATTGAGAACAACGTGTTAGAGTTTGATATATAGTGAGAAAAGTAGGGAACTTCCAAATAAAATTAGTGGATTAAACACATGCAACTACTTTTAACTCTTTTTCTAACTCCCCTAAAACAATAGGAAAGGGAATTTTAATGCATAAGCTTACAATTAAGAAAAGAACAGGAGAGGAAGTAAAACTTGGAAAATGTGACTAGCAAATTAGAGAAGGCTGAATCCTCAGTGGAGAAAGCCAAGAAACAACTGATTTCACTGCAGACTCACTGTGAACCTCAAAAAAGTTTCAGGATTTGGCAGCAGCATTCATTTCTTAGGATGAATACCTGGTTGAATTGCCAAGTCAAGTATAGACATATCTTTAACTGCAGTAGATAATGTCTAAATGATTGCCAAAGTGTTTTTTTCTAATAACTCAGTTATATTGGATAATATCTCTTTATTTATTTTTTTAAAGACTAGTTTTTTTCTTTTGTACTGCTTTATCATTAAGGATGATGGTAAGGTATTCTAATCACTAATTTCATGGAACTTATGTTCTAATTATAATGATTGTTGGATTTTATATTGCATTTTTTATTTCTGAGGTATAGTATGTGGTTTCAGTTGTTGAATCAGACCAGTGGACAAGAAATGGATTCTAGTATATCAAAATATAACCACTTTTCTAAAGTTACATCAGAAATAGAGGTATATTCTTAGAGGATAAAATACAGGCTTTGAATATCCTCAGGATGGAAATTATGTCAAATGAAATAATGTATGTGAGATCAGCTTGTAAACACTGCTTTGAGTTTACTTACTCATTGAGAGGAGGTTATGGCATAAAAGTGTAAGAAATTAGTACCTGTGTCTTTCATTCCTTTCCTGGGTTAGTTGTTGACTTACTGTCAAATTCAGAATAATTGAGTAACACTAAAAAGGTAAACATGCACTTGAGATCATCTTTGTTGTAGCTTTTTATGCTAAAGGAAAATTATAGCCTGTGTGTTTCCATTTATACTTGCTATAGTGCCAAGTTGTAATTCACTCAAAAGTGAATTCCAGGTAAGCACTTGGAAATTCTCCTTTCTTGGCAGTAAGTTTATGCGTTTTTACTCAGTACATTAAAGCTAAAATGGACAATGTCCAGAGATACCCCTTTGCATCTGTTTTAGTCTATTAGAAATCTATTTCAGTGTTGCTATATTACAGTGATCTTAAAAGACAAGTGTTTGATGTGTTTCATAAAGTACCTAGCACAATTTTTGAAGTCTTTGTAACTTTACTGAAGGTGTGAATGTTTATTAAATTACCATTAAAAAAATAATACAAGTAACACTTATTCATTATAGAAAAAACCCAGTGCTAGATAAACATAAAAAAGAAAATTGAAATCATTCATAATCCTGTGGCTATGAGATAACTAAAGAGAACAGTTTTAGAATTATTTATTCTATTTGCTTGTTCTTTTTATAGGCAAACGAAGGTTTAATATTAAATTGTGGAAGACCTTCACTGATTGTTTCAACTGTCTGCCTATAGCTGCCATTGTGGATGAGAAGATCTTCTGTTGTCATGGAGGTAGACTAGTAAATTTGCCTTATGGGTTTTTCTTATTCTTCTGTTATTTAGAAAAGACCTATAATATTTAAGATGTTATCTGAAAACAAAACAGTGTTTGTGTGAGAATACAAGTGATCAAAACAGTTTTAAATATGGCTAAAATCTCTTCTACCCAGAAATTTATGATATTTATACATAATTAAAAAGAAAATTTAATATTTGTCTTTAAAAAATTTCACATATGAGGAAGAATAATCGTAATTTTGTTTGAAAAAATATCTTTTGCCTCAGTTTTAACAGGAAGATGCTCCTGTTAGCTATCTGTAAAAATAAGAGGATTATTGTTTTTCTGCCTATATTAAATGCCTTTCATCAGAATCCAAACATAATTTAATATTTCCACATGCCAAGAGTTATAGGCTTTATATGATATATCTGCTTTAGTCCTAAAAATAATTTTTGGTAGAATAAGTTATTCTGTATGACTTGTTAAAATAAGCTTGAATATATGAAAGTTTATTTGAAAAACTAACATGTTTCTAGCATTTGGCAAGATGCCATGAAAATATATAGCTAGTGTATGAGTTGCCTATCTTGTGGAATTTAAAGACCTACTGATAAAACAGCCCAAATGTTCATCAGTAGATGAATGGATAAAAAGGCTGTGGTACATATACACAATGGAGAACTATGCATCTGTAAGAAAGAAAGAGCTCTTATCCTTAGAGACTACATGGAGGGACCTGGAAAGTATTATCCTAAGCGAAACAAGCCAAACAGAGAAAGACAAGTATCATATGATCTCACTTATTTGTGGAATATAATGAATATAACAGCCTGAAGAACAGGGTAGTCCCAGAGACGTGGAAGTAGGGTGCAGACTGACAATCCCCAGAAGAAGGGGTGGCGGGGGAGATAAACCATAGAACTTATATGCATGTATGCATGACCAGTGGACATGGACATCAAAACGGGGAACAGGGTGAGGAGGGAGGGGAAGGAGGGTGTCAGTAGGGGAAAAAGGAGAAACATCTGTAATAACAACAACAAAAAACCTGATAAAATGTATACTTTCAAACAGATATTGAATTAATTAAAGGAATTTAATTATGTCAAAGTACTTGAGAGACATTAATTCTGAGAAGTCAGGAAAAGGAGGGGATTGTTGGGTAAATGTTTATGGAGGCATGGGTTTTGGAGGATAAATAGACTTTGGAGGTGAAAAGAATATAAGACAATCTTTTTTATAAAAGTTTAGTTTAAGAAACGAGTGAGGACTGGCCTGACTAGAATGTCAAGTACATGTTGGGGAATGATTGGATCAGATTATAGAGATTTGAATACTTGAGCAAAGTATTGAATGGTTTGATAGCAATATTGGTGTTTTTAATCCTCGAGGACATTTTTGCATTTATCTTTAGACAGAGCAGGAGGGAGAGAGGGGGAAAGAGAGAGAAACATCGATGTGAGAGAAACTCATCGACTGGTTGCTACCCACATGACCCCAACCGGGGCAGGGACAAACCGCAAGGTACTTGCCCTTAGCAGGAACTGAACCCAGAACTCTGGTCCATAGGCTGACGCTCTAACCGCTGAGCCAAACTGGCCAGGGTGTAATACTGGGTTTTTATACAGGGAAATAATTTAATGAAAATACTGTAAGAAAATTTGTTTTCCATCAATATGCAGGAAGAATTAAGTGGGACAACGCTAAAAATATAGATGCACTTTTCTAGGCCCGAGATAATAAGTGGTTTAATCTTTTTTTTATCCTCACCCGAGGACATTTTTTTATTTTTTGTTCAGATAGAGTGGGAGGGAGAGAGGGGGAGAAACATCAATGTAAAAGGTACACATCGAGTGGCTGCCACTCGCACGACCCAACCAGGGCTGGGGACAAACTCCAACTGAAATCCGTTGAACTGAACCTGGGTCTCTCTGGACCGCAGGCCAACGCTCTAACCGCTGAGCCAAACCAGCCAGGGCGGTTTATTCTTTAATAGTGCATGATTCACTATATTAATTGAAACGTTTTACAATAGATACTAAACACTTAAGAAATTATAGCTCTTGCACATTAGTATAGCTAAGAATAGAAATCTAGCAAACCGTCTGATATGAATATGTAGTTTCATTATTTGTGATGATGCTTAGATTTTCTACCAAAGAGAAATGCTGGCTGATATCTATTGAAAGGTTGCAAAGTGTTTTCATGTGCTTTTTCTTACTTGTTGTTCTGTTCACAATTATGCTTTTATGAAGATAATGAGCATGTTGGAGTGGATTATAGGAATGTCTAATGGAACAGAGCGAGGCTCTTTAACTTGGAAGTATGTTTAAGAGTAGGTGATAAATGGCAAATGGTAGGTAAGATTGGAATTGAGTGTGTTCCTGTGAGGGACAGGGAATGGTTGGAAAGAAACATGAGTGGTAGGATTTTATTCCTTGGGAAATCTTTTTGAAATGAAAGAGAATTTCATTCCCTGGTAGGGAAAAGTGGAGAAGACCTAATTATGTTATGTTGTATCAAAATGGGATTCTTTTTAATAGCTCAGTATAGCCCTGGCCGGTTTGGCTCAGCGGTTAGAGCGTCGGCCTGCGGTCCGGAGAGACCCAGGTTCGGTTCCCGCTAAGGGCACGTACTTCGGTTGCAGTTTGTCCCCGGCCCTGGTTGGTTGTGCGGGTGGCAGCCACTCGATGTGTCCCTTCACATCGATGTTTCTCTCTCTCTCCTCCTTCCTCTCTCTCCCTCCCACTCTATCAGTACAAAAAAAAAAAAAGCTCAGTATAGTAAAAGGAACACTTTAAATATCTTTGATTTCACCTAGTGAATCTACTTTGATTAAATATTTTTTAGATGTCAATACAATAACGCATGTTTTCATTTATAGGACTATCACCAGACCTACAGTCTATGGAGCAGATTCGGAGAATTATGAGACCCACTGATGTCCCTGATACAGGTTAAGTATATAGAGAAGTTTGCTTAATTGTTTTATGTAAAATGTTGGCATAGTTTAATTTAATTATATTTAGTGGAAGTAGGATTGGTTTATGTAATAATAGGGTTTTTTTTAATAGTAAGATAACTACAGATTACTTGGCAGTAATATAAAATACTTCACTTTCTACTATTTCTCAAACAAACTTTAATTTGTATATATAACCATAATGTAGTTATGTCAAACTAATTTATCACAAAAGTTTTCTCTTACCCTCCTATCTTTCTAAATTCCCTTATTGATATCAACATTGGTTATATCCTTCAGACCTCTTAAAAATCAGTCAAAATTTTTTAAACTAAAATCTTTCTTTCTGCCCGGCTGATGTGGCTCAGTGGTTGAGCATCGACCCATGCACCAAGAGGTCGCCGGTTCAATTCCCGGTCAGGGCACATGCCCAGGTGGCAGGCCCAATCCCTGGTGGGAGCATGCAGGAGGTAGCCAGTCATTGTTCTCTGTCATTGATGTTTCTCTCTTTCTCTCTCCCCCTCCTTTCCTCGCTCTCTCAAAATCAATAAAGAAAAAATACTAAAAAATAAATAAAAGTAATCTTTCTTAGCTGAGGATACAAGTACCTTAATTTAAATTGCCTAGTAGTTTTCTGGGTTTGTTTTTTTTTCCTGCATAATTTTTATTTCAAATTTTTGGAGCGCTTGAGGCTCTTGAGAAAGAAGGTTCTAGAGATATGTGGTGAATTTTATGAATATTGTGAAAATTGACTACTCAGACATTTAGAAGTCTTGGTTAAGTGAAGCTAGTCAAAACAAAAGCAAATACGTTCCAGTTGAGGATAAATTGCTGTGTTTTATTTAACAAATGAACCAAATGTAATTTTATAAATAAATGCCTAGGCAATTGCCACTGCCCTAACTTAAATATTGCTTAAATATAATAATTTATATTATTATAAATTAATAATAATAAAAAAATTTAATAATTCCTAAATGGTAATTATATTTGAGTACCAGTGTGTGTTCTAAGGTGTATACTAATTTTGATATTCATATCATAAAATGCCATGAAGACCTATGAATTGAATGCAGTTAAATTGTTCTGTTTCACAGTTCAACTTTTGCTTAATAATACATCAATACCTTTCTTTATGGCATTTTCCTGACACTAAATGTGTGGTTTTTCTACCACACAACCAATTCTTCAACACAAAATGAGTATCAAACAATTCAATTCTGACACTAACTCCTGGAGTTAGCCAAGACCCCCACAGCTTTAAGGACTCCATTTAATAAGACTGCCCCCACTTCAGGTGCCAGCTTCAAATGGGTCCCTAGGAGACCCACACTTCTGCCTGGCTGACTACAAATCTGGGGATTCCCACAACAACCTCCTCAAATAATTTACTTACATTTACCATTTTATTACATAGGATACAACTCAGAAATAGCCACATGTAAGAAATGCATAGGGCAAGCCAAGGTATGGAGTGGGGTCTCTTGATGAACAGCTTCCATACCCTTTGGCATCCATGCATTCACCAACCTGGAAGTTCCACAAATCTAGTTATTAAAGAGTTTTTGTCGAACTCAGTTTCCAGCCACCCATAGAAGTGGTTGGCACAGGGTAGGTAGGGGGGCTGCAAGTTTCAACCTTCTGATCAGGTGTTTGGTCTTTCTTTTTTTAAAAATATATTTACTGATTTTTAGAGTGAGAGGAAGGGGGAGAGGGAGAGAGGGAGAGGAGGGAGAAAGAGAGAAACATTGGTGTGAGAGTGAAACATCAATTGGCTGCCTCCTACACAACCCCCACCAGGGATTGAGCCTGCAACCTGCATTCCCTGACCAGGAATTGAACCAGTGACCCTTCAGTGCATGGGATGATGCTCAACCAACTGAGCCACACCATCCAGGGCAGGTGTTTGGTTTTTCTGTTGACTTGTCCTCGTCCTGATACTATCTAGGGGCACCTGGGTCACTTTTTAAGTATAAACTCAGGTGTGATGGAAAGGGACTCCTTATGAATAACAAGACACTTCTATTACTTGAAGAAATTCCAAGGGTTTTGGGAGCTCTGTGCCAGGAATGGGCATAAAGACCAAATATAATTTTATTGTATCACAGTGTCATATAATTAAAAGCATTAATGTTAATAAACAGAATTGCGCTTTTCCTCAGTTTCTACCAGACTTCTTTTTTTTTAAACAAACTCACGTTGAATTAATCGTCCCATTATTTGTATGATCAGACCCACCTTTTGTGTATTATATTCAATTCTCAACTACCTTGAAGATCTTTAAAATAAGGATTGCGTAGTGTCATAGGGTCCAGAAATCCTCTTTTATAATAGGAACATTATATATATGAAACAAACAAAGGTCTTTTAGCTTACTGATAAAAGGATTATTGGTAATTTTGTAAAGGGGAATTGATTATCCATCAAATATGATCGGGCTATTGGTTACTAAGTTTATGTCCCACACACTGTTTTTTTTTAATCCTCACCTGAGGACATTTTTCCATTTTTCAGATGAGTGGGAGGGAGAGAGAGAGACAGACAGACAGAGAGAAACATCGACGTGAAAGGGACACATCTAGTGGCTGCCTCTCTCACGACCCCAACAAGGGCTTGGGGACGAATTGCAACCGAGGTATGTGCCCTTGACTGGAATCGAACCTGCGACTTATTGGTCCGCAGGCCGACGCTCTAACCACTGAGCAAGACTGGCCAGGGCCATGTCCCACACTCTTAAGATCCAAAGATTCTGTAGAAAGATGAGCATTAAAAATTTTCATGGACCAGTGGCCTGAGCAAAACACTGCTAAACCTCTATATTCGACTGTTCAGAACATGTATTTGGTTGCTTGTTTTTAAGGGTGATTGGGTTGTTTTGCTCAGTGTACTAAAAGCCTAATAATACCACTCAAAATGCTACTCATGACTTAATATCAACCATTATGAACAGTTGTATAGATCCTCTATTGTGAGTAAGCCACTAGCATTACATATTGAAATATGTTGCCTCATAATTTTCTCTTGTAAGCAGCACAGCTTATTTATGTTGATTATAAAAGGTTTAAAAGTATACATTTTACCAGATTTTGATTGTAATTATAGAGTATATTTGACTAAACCTAACAAACTAGTATTTAAATAATAGAGCATTTATTTAAAATACTGGTTTGTTTGTTTTTAATAAGATACAATATAAATATATATTTCACGTCTTCAGAGTTTCTGATAATGGTATATTTCAGCTATACGTAAATCAGTTTCAAGGGTGATGTTAGATTTAGGTTTCTCTTTTCAGTATATTTTAATGGTAATTTTAAACCTTATAATCTACAGAAACTTTATAAATTAACTAAAATTTTTTTAATACAATAGCCTAATGTTGTGATGCTTATTCATTAGGCGTGAATAATAAAACATTGAACCTTGACTTTGAAATTATTATCTTGAATCCAGTAGGGTTGAAGAATGGCAGATTGTTGTTGCTACCAGTATGTTATTTTGTATGTGTACACTGTCCTATTGCCCAAATAATTACAAAAGCAACTACATTTTAGTTTCATTGTCACATTAAAACTACAGATTAAGCCCTGGCCGGTTTGGCTCAGCGGTTGGAGCGTTGGCCTGTGGACCAGAGAGTCCTGGGTTTGGTTCCCACTAGGGGCACGTACCAAAAACAAAACAAAATAAAAAACTACAGATTAATATCTTGGTCTCCTTCTTACTGCCTCACCCATAGAAACAGACTGGGAAGTATGAGCAATTAGAGCACTGGGGCCGTGTGTGTGTGTGTGTGTGTGTGTGTGTGTGTGTGTGTGTATTCTTAAAGAATCAGTTTGTGATTTTTTTAGAAACCAGAAAGTGCTTGTATGTTGAAACTGTCCCCAAGAATATCACCATGCTGGTGTATTTCTTAAAACAACATAGCAGGAACTTAGGAAATGATAGAAATTAAGAGTGCATTGCCACCAATTCTTTAAGATAAGCTATATTATGAAGTTTATACATTATCCAAAAATAAATAAATCTTGACCTGACCAGTTTGGCTCAGCAGCAGTTAGAGCACCTGCCTTTGGACTGAAGGGTCACAGGTTCGATTCCCAGTCAAGGACATATACCTGGGTTGCATGTTTGATCCATGGCCCTGTTGGGGTCATGCAGGAGGCAACCAATTGACGTGTGTGTCTGTCTCATCGATGTTTCTCTCCTCCGCCCCCTTCTCCTTCCCTCCCTTCCACTCTAAAAAATCAATGGAAAAATGTCCTCCGGTGAGAATTAACCAAAAAAAAATCAGTCTTCCCATAGCACTGATTTCTTCATCCATAGTTCTTAGAAAAGTACTTAATATCACCATCTCTGCATCCATACTCTCTAACAGTACAGTTTGATTTTTACCCACTCTCTTTCCTTCAACCATCAAGAAGCTGCTTTAGCCCTGGCCAGTGTGGCTCAGTTGGCTGAGCGTCGCTGTTTGATTTCCGGTGAGGGACTTTCAGGGAAGCAGCCAGTTGGTGTGTCGCTCTCACAACAGTGTTTCTCTCTTCCTTACTCTCTCAAAATCAATTTTAAAAATCTTTTTTAAAAAAAGGAAAGAAACTTTCTTTGGATTGAAGGGTCGCAGGTTCAATTCCCAGTCAAGGACATATACCTGGGTTGCATGTTTGATCCCTGGACCTGTTGGGATCATGCAGGAGGCTAAAGCAGCTTTTTTTAAGATCTGATGATCTGATTGCAAGTGGCACATTTTTGGATTTTCAACCTATCCCAGTTCTTCATTGTACTTGACACTTACCCATTTCCTACTCCTAGATAATTCTTGCCCCTTCCAGGTGATCTCTGCTATTCTAATCTCATCCTTTTGTTGTGACCATTTTTTTCCTCAATATCTTTTACTCATTTCCCCTCTTCTGCTTACTTATTAAATGTTTGATTCTTCAGATCATTTATTGGTCTTCTCACTTTTCATTCCCGAGGTGATCTGAGTTCCTCCTAAGATTTACACTACTATAATAAAGATACCCAGATAAGCATTTTTAGCTTAGACCTCTTTTCTTAAGCTCCAAACATTACTAATGCCAAAATTGGATCTGATTTTGTTCCTTCATACTTTATTTAAATCCTTCATGCCTTAGTAGAAAATATTTTCTTAAGTTGATCTATAGATAAATGCAGTTTCAGTGAAATCTTAATTGGGATCATGGAATTAGATATATTGATTCAGAAGTTTATATGTGGAAGAACAAAGTATTAAAAGCAACCAAGACAGTCCTGAAGAAAAAAGATTAAATGGGATACCAGCCCTACCCAAAACAGATTTATTTAAGAGCTCTAGTATGTTTTTAGCTCAAGGATAAATAAAATAGAGTAATGGAGTAGACTGTAGCGCCCAGAAATAGACAGTGTAGGTATCTCTGTAAGGAAAGGATGAACTATTCAGGAAATGTTGTGGGGTCTTTGGTTATGAATGTGGAGAAACTACATAAAAAAGATAAACAGCCTGTTCTATGTATTGTGTGCTTAGAATGTACCATATTTCCTGTATGTGGAAAGGGTTGGAAAGTACTCCTTAAGAAGCCAGGGAAAATTATATTTGTATGGTGCTTTAACAAAGAATGGCTAAGTTTGATAAACTGGGATTCCAGGGGCAAGAGATTGTTTCTGTTTATTAAAGGGTAAGAGGATAGGACAAAAAATGTGATGACAGTATGCTTTATTTTATAAACTTATGTTTTTTATTCATTGCTTTTTAAATTTTTTGAAGGTTTGCTCTGTGATTTGCTGTGGTCTGACCCAGATAAGGATGTGCAAGGCTGGGGAGAAAACGATCGTGGTGTTTCCTTCACTTTTGGAGCTGATGTAGTCAGTAAATTTCTAAATCGTCACGATTTAGACTTGATTTGTCGAGCTCATCAGGTATGAGATATAAAACTTTTGGATAATTTCATATTTATTAACTTCACACAAGTCTAGTCCTTTTATTTTTGATGTCTATACCTTGTACTCACAATTAACAATCTAATGATTTGTTAATCCTTTCTCACCTTCTAAGAGGAAATGTTTCAAAGAATATGTTTTTGTAATTCTAATAAATTTTTTAGTGCTTGTCTGAAGCTTCGTAGAAATATTTGATCCCATTTTAATGTGATGTTTACATATTGTAGATAATAACCAAATGAATTGTGGGGACTTTGATAAGAACAAAGATATTTTTGAGAAAGTTGGGGAAATTCTATTATGGATTGGGTATTAGATATCCCCAGTAATTGTTCTTAATTGTTTTAGCTGTGATGATATGTCATTATTGTTATGTAAGAAGGATGTTCATACAGAATTGCATACTCAAGTATATAAAGGTAGGATGACATATCTAGGGTTTGCTTTAAAATACATCAGCAGAGAAAAAGGGGGCTAAATGAAAGAAATGTAGTGAAGTGCTAATAATTATTAAATCAGTGGTTAGTAAATGGTAGTTTATTAACTTTGTACTTTTGTACATACTTGAATTTTCATTATAAAAATGTGTATTCAGTTTAGATTTGTTTGTTTGTTTCTACGTCCTCTACCACATTGTACACTTCTTAAGGAGGGAATTATGACTTAATCTTTCAATATCCACTGCCTTGTAGACTTAATGACGTATTATAGGTTGCATTAGTCTTTGTTGAATAAAAGAGTTAATTAACAGCCCTGGCCGGTTTGGTCTTAGCGGTTAGAGCGTCAGCCTGCGGTCCAGAGAGACCTGGGTTTGGTTCCTGCTAAGGGCACGTACCTCAGTTGCGGTTTGTCCCCCAGCCCTGGTTGGGTTGTGCGGGTGGCAACCACTCGATTTGTCCCTTTCACATTGATGTTTCTCTCTCTCTCCCTCCCTCCCACTCTATCTGAACAAAATATGGAAGAATATCCTCGGGTGAGGATATGAAAAAAAAAAGTTAATAAAAGCTTATTTTAACAATTTAATATACCAAGTCCTCATGTTCTCTAACACATACTTGAATGAAATACATTCAGAGGCATTTTTAAAAAATGTTTATTGGCTACTTTTGAAAGTATGAAAAGAATTTGAAATTTGTAAATATAGTATTTTTTAAAGATTCTTTGTTATTTTTTGTTAAAGCAAAATTTATTAAGTTTATGCTGTTCTAGGATACTTTCCTTTTCTCTGAGGTTTTATACCCCATGACACTTGACTACTACCTCTTTGTGATCCTGTGGGATACACACAGGTGCCCGGCTCCTCATTTTCTGCACATTTTATATCACATGCCTTTTTCCTAGCAGAATATCCTAGTTCAGTTGAAATGAAGTCATGTCCCCAAGTTCTTTGCTTTTGGTAAAGCTGTCTTTTAGTGAGTAAACACTGTGTTTGTGAATGAGATAATTAAGATAAGCCTTTCATTAGATAAGAGGGCAGAGTTTCTAAGTTCCTAATAAAATACCCACTGGTAATCTTTTTTTTTTTTCCCCCCCAGCTATAGAGCTTCATTTTCACTGGTCTTTTTTTTTTTAAGTGATGATTTTTTTTTTGCTCAGATGGAGTGGGGGGGGGGGGGAGAAATATCAACATTAAAGGGACACATCGAGTGGCTGCCACCCACACAACCCAACCAGGGCTGGGGACAAACTGCAGCCGTGGTATATGCCCTCAGCGGGAACTGTCTCTCTGGACCACAGGCCAACGCTCTAACCAATGAGCCAAACCAGCCAGGGCAAAAGTGATGATTTTAAAAGTCAGGTTACTGAACTGACTTGGTTTGTGTGGTCTTTTTCTAGGCACCTCCAAAGTCCTATTCTGCTTATTTTCAAAACATATTGTTTTGGGCATCAAATTATAGTCAGAGACCAAGATTATCTTTGTCAATGATTTACACAGGTTCACTGCAGGAATTACAATAATTTCATAAGCAAAAGTATAGAGGATTATGTCTCTTAATAAACCAATAAAGAAATAACATTTGCCCTGGCCAGTGTGGCTCAGTTAGTTGAATGTTGTCCTGTGCACTGAAAGGTTGCCAGTTTGATTCCCAGTCAGGGCACATGCCCTGGTTTCAGGCTCCATCCCTGATAGTGGGCATGCAGGAGGCAGCCGATGAAAGTTTCTCCCTCTCCCTCTCACTTCTCTTTCTAAAAATCAATAAAAAAATCTTAAAAAAAAAAAAAATGTATTCCAAAGCAATAATAGATTACACACACTGTTGTACCAGGCAAGGGGAGAAAAGGGAATAAAATTCTAATTGAATTGAAGTGCACCTTTATAGGAGTTGGTGGTACTCAGGCTCCAACTCAGGAGAGATGGTTTAGTCAAGAAGTGCTGACAAGTAAGAGTCCCTTGTTACTAGAGCATGTTGCTAAGCAATGATGGAGTCTGTTTTGACAGGTAAAATGATCTCCTTTGTGGGGACTGCTGCATAGCTTTCTCCCTTGCTGGTAAGCATTTATCAGTGGAGGAGCTAATGCCCTAAAAGTCTTAAGAGAGTTATTTAGGTCAGCAGAGTCTCCAGAAACTCTCCCATGGTCTTCACAAACTCTGGGTATTTATAGTTTAAATGTCTCCTTGCTGTAGTTGCTTCTGCACATGGTTTTTATTTTGATAAGCCCCCAGCAGTCCCTCAGCAGCTTGAGCCACTGAATGCTTATCATTGACAACAAATGAGATCATGACATCCTGACATAAATTACCTCACTCTGATATCAAAACAACTTTACTCTTAAAACTTCATTTTTGTCATAAATAAGTAGATTTGAAATCATATCAAAACAATACACAAAACATATTAACTCTAAAATTAAACTACTTACAATGAACAACAAATTTCAAATATTTTCTGTAGGAAAAAACCTATTCTTTCAGTAAATATGTGATTGAACAAGTGAACAAGGAAACTAAGAACTAAAAGCATGTACTGAGTGCCAAGCACCATGCTGAACCTAGAGTAGATAAAGTGGCCAAGGTCTTAACAGAAAAGGTTAATATCTAAATTCTACCATGAGATAATTATAACAGGAACATGTACCTTACTAAGGTAGGAATTATTAAAACATAAATGAAAAAAAAATACATATAAATGAGCCCTGGCTGGTGTGGCTTAGTGGTTAGAGTGTCAACCTGAGAACTGAAGAGTCTTGGGTTTGATTTGCAGGGTTTGCAGGTTTTTGGGTTGAGGCTCATGTGGGAAGCAACCAATCATTGTGTCTCTCTCATTAATCTCTCTCTCCCTCTCTCCCTCTCGCTCTCCCTCTCCCCCTTGTCTCCCTTCTTTTCACTCTCTTTTTAAAAAATCAATGGAAAAAGTATCCTCTGGTTAGTATTAACAAAATATATATAAATTATTTTGGAGGTGCTTGCTTATCTTAGCAAGTACTGTAGGATAATTTTTGTTTAATCAAAGGATACCTAAAAAATTTCAAAAAATATTCTTGCCTAATATAAATAAATATTAAATGTTTAGTCCGGCCGGTGTGGCTCAGTGGTTGAGTGTCGACCCATGCACCAAGAGGTCGCCAGTTTGATTCCTGGTCAGGACACATGCCCAGGTTGTAGGCCTGATCCCCAGTGAGGTTATGCAGGAGGCAACCAATCAATGTTCCCTCTCATTGATGCTTCTATCTCTCTCCCTCTCACTTTCTCTCTCTCGAAAATCACTAAAGGGGAAAAAAAATGTTTAGGTATCATTGCCTACCTATCAAATTATAGAGCTGAGAAACAAATTGTTTAGCTCACTCAGGAATTGACAATAGATTCTAGAAATCATGTTAAATCATTAAAGAAAATTTAATCATTAAAAATTTAATCTATAAGTAGCAACTTTTTAAGGGAGCGTGATCTGTGTAAATTATTAAGCTCAATTTAGTACATTATTGATTTTAGAGAGAGAGGAAGGGAGATAGCTTGGCCACCTCCTGCATGCCCCCCACTGGGAATTTGGCCCACAACCTGGGCATGTGTCCTGATTGGGAATCGAATTGGCGAACTCTTGGTGCAAGGGTTGATGCTCAACCACTGAGCCACACTGGCCAGGCTAATTTAGTAGAGTTTGCAGTGTGTAGCTACATAATACTAACATAAAATTTAAAAGTGGAGCAAGAAAAACCTCCTTGCTATAATCTGTTTTTTCTTGTCTGGTCATTGTTCATTTTATTAAGGATTCTATAGTTGGACTATAATGCCATCATCTAAGAAGTGCTTAGTATCCCAGTACCCTATAGTCATTATACATATTGGCTTATGGAGAGCCTTGGGGATGATATGATTTCTAAATTTCTTATAGTCATAAATTTATTATTTCATTTAAGGTAAATCCTTACCATTATAGAAAAGGCACACTAATTTTAATTTTGTAAGGCAATGTAAAAAGAAAAGTCAAGCTTCCAAAACAAACAGGGTTTTTTCTTTTTTTAGGTCTTTGTTACATTAATCAGAGTTAGTATAGATGGTTGAGAATTACCTATAAATATATTTTTTTCTTTTGACATTTCCTTTGACAGGTGGTAGAAGATGGATATGAATTTTTTGCTAAACGACAATTGGTAACCCTATTTTCAGCCCCAAATTACTGTGGTGAATTTGATAATGCTGGTGGAATGATGAGTGTGGATGAAACTTTGATGTGTTCATTTCAGGTATAATATAAATTTATAACAATTGCAAATGTGAATAAAACTATTGTCAGAATAAGTTTTCTTTTAGATTTGTGTTCTTTCCTTGAGCAGGTCAATTTTACTAAGAAGTGAATCTCAGCATAGGCTCAATAGAGATTTCTATTGTTATTCATAAAGGTTTCAGCCTTTTTAGTATATATCAGATATTAGAGTTTTAAGGAACCTAAGTTATATCAGTTATTTTCTCTCCCCTCACCCCCACCCAAATTATAACAGAAAGTTTATAATTAGAAAGCTACAGAGGTAGAAGTGAGCTGGGCTGCCTAGGCTCAGGAAACAAGTTACAGAAGCAAAAGAAGGGCTCTTGGAGCTTAGGAGAGAGAAGGGCAAAGGTAATATGCTTGGGGGGAAGAAAAGGGAGAAAGGAAAGGTACTGGTGAGTGCAGGGTCCATAGTATTGAAGGTTTTAAAGACTGGGAGTTTAGAAGAGGATCTCAATAGAATAGTCATCAGCTTATATCAGTCATTTTTAATGCAGAGTTTTAAATTGTTAAATCCCTGAATGACTCCTTGGATAGTGACTTGATTACTAAAAGAGTGTGAAGTCAATGAATAGTTTAGATTTTGTTTTCTTTTACAAGATGAATAGGTGGGACAGAAATTGAGAAAAAATTATAAACTCAGGTGAAAATATCATAGAATATTTACCTAAGAAAAACTTTCCAGATAATCTTCAAGTACCCATTTATAAATATAGAAACATTTACTTTTTAAAAGTGATGAACTTGAATAATTTTACTGTGCTACTTAAAATCATTCCTGTTCACAGACCAAAATAACTTTGATACTTTGTTTCTGCAAAGTTTATTTTATATCCCTAGCATGCACACACTATTTTATTTTTTTTAAACCCTTACCTGAGGATATTTTTCCATTTGTCTTCAGATAGAGTGGGAGGGAGGGAGGGAGGGAGGAAGAAAAACATCAATATGAGAGAGACACACCAATTAGTTGCCTCCCACATGACCCTGACCAGGGCCAGGGACTGAACTGAAACCAAGGCACATGCCCTTGACTGAAATCGAACCCAAGGCTCTCTGGTCCACGGGCCGATGCTCCAACCGCGGAGCCAAACTGGCCAGGGCATACTATCTCTTTTTAAATATAGACCATCCCTCTTTTTATATTATACTATTTGTAATTACTAATAAATATAATTGAGTGGTAAATGTTTGACTTCTCAATTACAACTTAAGGATAGTAGCCAGGACTTATACTTCATCAGTCACCATAGTGGAGTTGAATTAATTTTTTTTTTTTTTTCAGTGAGGAAGTATGATGCTGAATAGTTCTAAGAAATACCTCATAAGTCTTTTGTATGCATTCTTTGTTAATATTGAAATTTTCTATCTGTAATGAGCTTAAAGCTTTATTTACACCTACCAGATAAATACAATTGTTAAAAGGCTGTAACAAGTATTGGTGAGGATATGGAGAAATTGGAACCTTCATACATCTGTAGTAGGAATGTAGATTGATGGCGAAAATGTAAAATAGTGCATCTGCTTTGGAAGACAATTAAACATAGTTTCTGTATGATCCAGCAATTCCAATCCTAGGTATATACCCAAAAGAATTAAAAATAAGTACTTAATTAGATGTATATGTATATTCCTAGGAACATTGTAATAGCCAAAAGGAAACAACCCAAATGTCTATCAGCTAAAGAATGAATAAACAAAATGTGGAGTATCCATAAAATCACATATTGTTTGGCAATTAAAAGTAATGCAGTACTGATACATGCTACAACATACATGAACCTCAAAATCAAAGAGGCCAGTCACAGAACAACACATAATGTCAGGTTCCATTATATGAAAGAACCAGAAAAGACAAATCAATAAAGAAAGTAGATTAGTGGTTGCCTTGAGTTGAAATGGGTTAGGGGAGTAGAAAGTGGAAATGGGGGTGGGAATAGGGTTCCTTATGGGGGTGACAAAAATGTTCTAAAATTAGATTATAGCATTGGTTGTACAACTCTGTAACCATGTAAACTAAAAATCACTGACATGTACATTTTAAATGGGTGAACTTTATGATACGTAATATATAAAAATAAAGCTGGTTTGTTCTTGGGGGTTTTTGAGAATTTTTATGAGTTTATTTGAACCAAACTGATGATATATGCCGGGGAGTAAGATCTCAAATGCTCCACAAATAAAGCTGTTTTTTAATTAAAAGATTTGTTCACACATAAATTAAGGTCTGAAGAGTTTGTGACTAGTTACCCTCTAAAGTGGCAGAATTATGGTGCAAACCTAGGTCTTTTTGACACAGCTAGAGTTTTTTTCTCACCACACATACACTAATTACAAACTTTTTTTCCCTTAACTCTAAGGATTAGGTAGTTGATAGGATTTGTGTGCTCAAGCTTTTGCTACTAAATTATCAATGGAATGACAAATATTAACTATTCAGATGTTTGTGCACTCTTTAAAATGTTAGAAATGTTTGTGGAACTTTCCTATTTTTTCTACATTTTTATTGCACTTGAAAGAATAATACTGTTAATAAATTGTTTCCTTTAAGATATTAAAACCATCTGAAAAGAAAGCTAAGTACCAGTATGGTGGACTGAATTCAGGACGTCCCGTCACTCCACCTCGAACAGCTAATCCACCGAAGAAAAGGTGAAGAAAGGAACTGTGTAAAGAAACCATCAGATTTGTTAAGGACATACTTCATAATATATAAGTGTGCACTGTAAAACCATCCAGCCATTTGACACCCTTTATGATGTCACACCTTTAACTTAAGGAGACGGGTAAAGGATCATAAATTTTTTTCTAATAGAAAGATGTGCTACACTGTATTGTAATAAGTATACTCTGTTATAATATTCAACAAAGTTAAATCCAAATTCAGAATTACCCATTAAAGTTACATCTTCACTTATCACAGTTTTTAAAGTTGAAAATTCAGCATCCCAATTAAACTAGATGTAATAGTTAAACCAGATGAAAGCATGATGATCCATCTGTGTAATGTGGTTTTAGTGTTGCTTGGTTGTTTAATTATTTTGGGCTTGTTTTGTTTGTTTGTTTTTGCTAGAATAATGGCAAATATTTTAACCATGTTTCTCTAAACATTTTTAAAAGTGAAATATGGGACAAGCTTTAAAGACATTCACCAACTATTATTTTCTTTGGCTTTTTTACTTATGTACCTGTTTGATCTTACTAAGAAAACTTATGCCTCATTACCATAAAAAGGAATTTTAGAGGTTGATATTTTAAAAAGTATGCAAACTGTCCAATCCAGTGATTTAATCAAACAGTTTGGGCAAACTTTACAGCTGATAGTGAATATTTTGCTTCATACAAAAATTGCCACAGATTTGGATTTGTGCACTCTAATTTTTAACTGATTGATGCTCTATTGTGCAGTAGCATTTCATTTAATTTTAAGATAAGGCTCATATAGTATTACCGAACTAGTTGGTAATGTGGTTATGTGGTACCTTGGTTTTAGGTTTTAATTTGCACGAAACACCTTTTTTTGGCATGCTTAACTTTCTGGTAACACTCTCACCTGCATCAGTTTTGTTTTTGGGTTTTTGTTGTTGTCGTTGTTTTTTGTTTTTGTTTTTAGGTCCACAAAACATGAGAATCCTTTTTTGACAAGCCTTGGAAAGCTGACACTATCTCTTTTTCCCTCTGTGTGTAGGAAGGACATATTTAAATGAATGATGGTCATTGGGACATTCTGTCAACTATGGGTATTGGGTGCTTAACTGTCTAATATTGCCATGTGAATGTTGTATACGATTGTAAGGCTTATGTCACTAAAGATTTTTATTCTGATTTTTCATGATCAAAGTTCATATGATATTGTATAAACATGCTTTGTAGTGAACTATAGTAGCAATAATTTCTGTACATGATCAAGGATTTTTTGCATTATTTTTCCTGTTCTCTCTCTCTCTTTTAAGGGTTAGTATTAACAAATGGCAAGAGTAGAAAAGTGAACATAAAGATTTTATAAGGAGAACTTAGAGGACACAGATTTGTGATTTTTGGATGCGATACTTTCGGATGTGATTCTAAAAGCTTTTATTGAGCATTGTCAAATTTGTAAGCTTCATAGAGATGGACATCATATTTATAATGCCCTTCTATATGTGCTACCATAGATGTGAAATTCTTGACCTTAATATTGTCTTTAAAAATGTTAAATTGAGAATTCTGTTAACTTACATTTTATGAATTGGTGTATTGTATTACTGCAAGAGATTTGATTTTCAGCACAGTGCAACGTTCTTTCAAATGCATATGTCTTTTTTTCTAATTCCATTTTGTTTTAAAGCACATTTTAAATGTAGTTTTCTCATTTAGTAAAAGTTGTCTAATTGATATGAAGCTTGACTGGTTATTTTATTACCTTTTTTCCCCTTTACAATGAGACAGACACATTTTATTCAAATACATTTCAGTGTCTTGGACATACATTGATTAAATTGATCCTTTTCTGAAGGTGAGGATAAAAATTTTTTAAGTGTTCAACAAATATATGCCTTTCAAAAAAAAAAAATCTGAGGGAAAGCCATGAACATTTTGGGATGTGTCTCTTAAGAATATAAAAGTGTGTCATTGAGCCAAGGAACTGAAATATATCTTCATTTATAAGTTTAGGTAGGTTGCTTTGTCTCCTTGGCAAGCATAACTTTTGAATTCATTTTCTTCTTCGACATATTTATGCTAAAAATGTGTTTAGTGAAGGAAGATGGTCAAGCTTACTCTGCTCTTGGTACCCTGACCTAATCCACTCCTCTCTTTGTGCATTCAAAGAATCAACAATTCTTTGTGGAGTCAAAGCGGCATCCCCTTAGAAATGCTGTCCTTTTTGCTAGTAGGTTTTGGTGTTTCATAGTTTCCTTAAAGAGCTAAAAAATGGTTAAGAGGATTTTGAAGTGACAGCATACCTTACAAAATGAACGATAGTTATATAAGACATAAACTGATCCATATAAGTATACATCTAAAATTTTATCATCATGGTTTTTATATAATGATTCAACAAGTGACATTGAGATACAGTGCAACAATTTCTATGTTAAATTTGATCCATCTACTCTGGAGTATTAACCTGGGGGAAATATTTAGCAAGGCTGTAGCAACATAAAAAGCCATGGTATGTTATGGGGGGAGGGGGTGAACAAGTTATCCATTAGGGAAGAGGAAAGAATGTCAGAAAAAATTAGAAAGCTGTGAAGAATCCATTTATGTATTCCTTCAGCAAACATTTATTAAGCACCTACCACATCCTAAGCATCTGTCCAAGGGTTAGATGGGGCGAAAAAGAAAAGACTCCTGTAGAAGAATTTACAACTGAACAAATTTAACACAATGGGAAACATTACCCCTTATCACAGAGCCAAAATAGTCACACCTTTTATTAGTTTAAGTGGTCTGTTCATATAATTATTTTAACATAGCAGGGCCTCTCCATAGAGCTGGAGGGAAAATAAATGGCTCTAATACAAGGCGGGGCGGGGGTCGGCGGGGATTGGCGGGCGCGGGGGCGGTCAGTGTCCTGGAGAAGGGTTAAATTCGGGGACCTGAGCAGATCCGGCAGGGTCTGGCGTTCTGCCCTGTCTGGAAGGTAAGCAAGGCGGTATAACCGTAGGTCAGCCGGGACCCTAGGCGCGTGCGGCATGGGGCGTGGCGCGCGCATCCTCGGCGGCCCCGCCCCCCCGCGAAAGCCGTTCGCTGTGCGCTGATTGGCCCGCGCCGGCCACGCTCTGGATTAGCGGGCGGTGAGCGGCGAGCGGCGCGCTACGGTGGAGCGACCTGTGAGCAACCGTCTGAGGTCCGGGGGCGTCTGGAGAGTCTGACCGCCCACTAGGCCCCTGTCACCAGCCCCGGGTTTTCGCAGGTACCTTAGCTGCGGGCTTCGCCGGCGACCCCAGTTTCGGTTGTGCCTGTCCCTCCATTCTCTCTCACCCAGCCCGCCGCCCTCCGTGTGTGAGGAGGTGGGCGCGTCCCTGACCCTCACACGCTCCCGCCCGTGAGGCCCCTCTGGTGGCTTCTCCGCGACGGAACACACCCTTCCAGCTCCAGCGGACTGGACTTGGGCGCCGGGCGGCGCGGGGGTCGGCGGGGGTCCGCCGGGGTGGGGAGGGCGAGGGACGGCGGGCGCGGGGGGCGGGGGTCGGCAGCCGCGGGGGTCGGAGGTCGGCAGCCGCGGGGGTCGGCAGCCTCGGGGGTCGGCAGCCGCGGGGGTGGGGAGGGCGAGGGACGGCGGGGTCGGGGGTCGGCAGCCGCGGGGGTCGGCAGCCGCGGGGGTGGGGAGGGCGAGGGACGGCGGGGTCGGGGGTCGGCAGCCGCGGGGGTCGGCAGCCGCGGGGGTGGGGAGGGCGAGGGACGGCGGGCGCGGGGGGCGGGGGTCGGCAGCCGCGGGGGTCGGCAGCCGCGGGGGTGGGGAGGGCGAGGGACGGCGGGGTCGGGGGTCGGCAGCCGCGGGGGTCGGCAGCCGCGGGGGTGGGGAGGGCGAGGGACGGCGGGCGCGGGGGGCGGGGGTCGGCAGCCGCGGGGGTGGGGAGGGCGAGGGACGGCGGGCGCGGGGGGCGGGGGTCGGCAGCCGCGGGGGTGGGGAGGGCGAGGGACGGCGGGCGCGGGGGTCGGGGGTCGGGGGTCGGCAGCCGCGGGGGTCGGCAGCCGCGGGGGTGGGGAGGGCGAGGGACGGCGGGCGCGGGGGTCGGGGGTCGGGGGTCGGCAGCCGCGGGGGTGGGCCCGGGCGGCTCTCGGCTGCGGGATCCGGGAAGGACGGCGAGGCGCGAGGCGCGAGCCGTGCCGTCAGGAAAGCGGGCCGGGCGTCACCTCCGCGGGCAGTTTGTGGGAGCCTCGCCGGCACTCAGCCCTCGCGGCCAAGCGGGTTGTGCTGGCTGCGGGGCCGGCTGGGAGGGGACGGGGACCGCAGAGGTGACGTGCCCGCCCCCCAGCCGCACGAGGCCTCCGCAGGTGGCCTGGAGAAGCTCGGGCTCCGCGGGGCTCCCCGTTGCCTGCCTGTCCACCTGCCGGGAAGAGGGGCCCCAGCCCCGCCGCTCACCGCCTTTGCCCTTTTGAGGATTGGGGTTGTAGTGTTTTGAGTATGTCCTGCCTCTTTCTGGTCTCCCGTAAAATACACCCTTTTCCCCTGGAGCGTCTGCGCCAGAACCTTGAGATCTGACCGTCTGGATGTCAGTTCCACCCCTTGAGCTCATTTCTCAGGTTTTGCAAAATCCTTTTCTTCCATTTTTCAGTACCATTAGAGGCCAGATAGCTTCCATTTAAAAACCCAAAAACACTTTAGGAGTAATTTAACACTGATTAAACCCATGGCATGTTAAAATTGAGATCCTATTTACAAACATAAGCACATTTTTTTTTTTTTTTTTTTTTTGGTACTTGCCCCTAGCGGGAACCAAACCTGGGACTCTCTGGTCCGCAAGCCAACGCTCCAGCCACTGAGCAAACCTGCCAGAGCCATAAGCACATCTTACTATTATTTTTTTTTTTTATCCTCACTCGAGGACATTTTTCCATTTTTTGTTCAGATAGAGCGGGAGGGAGAGAGAGAGAGAAACATCGATGTGAAGGGACACATCGAGTGGCTGCCACCCGCACGACCAACCATGGCCGGGGACAAACTGCAACCGAGGTACATGCCCTTAGCGGGAACCAAATCCGGGTCTCTGTACCGCAGGCCAACGCTCCAACCACTGAGCCAAACCGGCCAGGGCCATAAGCACATTTTAAAATGCTGTAATCTTGTTCTCAGTGTTTTACATTTTAAATTATATTTATTGGAGTGAAATTTGACTACCTGTCATATTCTGTTGAAAGACACCCTTCCTGTAAAAAATATACACTAATAGTGCTGTTCTGTATTGAGTTTTTGGTAAGCACTAGCACTGTTAGGCATTATTTGTATACTTATTCCTTTCCTTATTAACCCTACAAAGTATATATTGTTAACAATGCCTAATAATAGGTACTTTTATTGAATACTTACTATGTACCAGTTTCTTTAAAAAAAAAAATAGTTGCCTTTATTATCTCAGTATCATAAGTGAGGAAGGAACCAGTGTTAGGAATTAAATAGCCTAAGGTCACAAAGCTGGTTAAGACATAATTATGTCCTTTTTTTTTTTATCCTCACCCGAGGATATTTTTCCAAATATCTTCAGATAGAGTGGAAGGGGGAGAAAGAGAGGGAAACATCTACCTAAGAGACACACACTGGAAACATCTACCTAAGAGACACACACCGGCTGATTGGCTTCCACACAACCCCGACCAGGGCCTGGGACAAACTGAAACCAAGGTACATACCCTTGACCAGAATCGAACCCCGTGGGGCCGGCAGACAGCTGCCGTATCTGGAACTCCAGCAACCTGCCTCTCACTGTTTGTTCCACCCTGATGAATTTCTGAAGCCCTGTCTCACTCAACGTTCCGGCCCACCCAGGCTGTTTCCAGTGGCTTTACCATAGGATTGGCCTGTCTTGGATCCTGCTTCAGGTTTTTCGAAATCTCTCAAACAAGCAGCATCTGACCTAAGCGAGCCCCATACCTCTTGCTAAGTGGCCCAGGACCATCACTAGAAGCAGGCAGCCATGGTTCGTTCATAGCTTGGCTTTGCCTGGGCATCTCCAAGCCTAGCACAAGAAGCAGCCATCTATAGATCACTTTGCAGCTTATGCCTGATGGCCCTGGGTAGAACACTGGCAGTGGCCGACTTTGCCCCACAGCCAGCACACCCAGTGAACAGCTTCAGACCACATGGAAGCACCACCACCCAACCACCTTTACAAGTGACACACTCAAGAAGTGGACTCATTGGGTACCAGAGCCCTGCTGAAGTAAGGCCTGCTCTGTGTGGTGGGCCCATGCACAGCTGATCCTCCAAGGTAGTCAGATGTCAGTGGTTAGTGGGCACAGCCAGTCTTTGCAGCTGATCAGCCTGAGTAAATTCCTCCCATTGATGTACCAGCAGCAATCAAAATTGAGTTACAACAGAAGGGTTTACAGTCTACACTAGGGTTGTACCTTGAGGACCCAGCTGGGGTGACCAGGGAGGCTGTGCCACTGAACCCTACTGGACACCTACTACAATAGGCCACCCTAGGAAGCCTAGGAGATATAGCAACTTTACCTAATTCATAGAAACAAACCCAGCCAAAATGAGAAGACAAAGAAACATGTCCCAAATGAAAGAAAAGAACAAAACTCCATGAAAAGAATTAACAAAACAGAGATAAGCAATCTGACAGATGCAGAGTTCAAAACAGTGCTTATAAGGATGCTCAAGGAACTTACTGAGAATTTCAAGAAACAGAATTTCAAGGAACTTAGTGAGAACATCAACATAAAAAAGGACCAGTCAGAAATAAAGGATGCACTAACTGAAATAAAGAATAATTTATAGGGAATCAATGGTAGAGTAGGTGAAGCCAAGAAGCAAACCATCAATTTGGGATATAAGGAAGCAAAAACCCAATCAAAACAGCAAAAAGAAAAAAGAATTTAAAAAAGAGGATAGTGTTAGGAACCTTTGGGACAACGTCAAGCATACCAACATTCACATCATGGGGTACCAGAAAGAGAAGAGAAAGCAAGAAATTGAAAACCTATTTAAAACAATAATGACAAAAAACTTACCTAATTTGGTGAAGGAAACAGACATAAAAGTCCAGGAAGCACAGAGTCCCAAACAAGTTGAACCCAAAGAGGTCCACATCAAGACACATCATCAAAATGCAAAAGGTTACAGACAAAGAGAATCTTAAAAGCAGCAAGAGAAAGCGATTAGTTACCTACAAAGGAGCTCCCATAAGACTATCAGCTGATTTCTCAAAAGAAACTTTGCAGGCCAGAAGGGAGTAGCAAGAAATATTCAAAGTGGTGAAAAGCAAGGACCTACAACCAAGATTACTCTATCCTGCAAAGCTATCATTTAGAATCGATGGACATATCAAGAGTTTCCCAGACAAGAAAAAGCTAAAGGAGTTCATCATCACCAAACCAGTATTATATGAAGTGTTGATGGGTCTTCTTGAAGAAGAAGAGGAATAAAAATATGAACAATAAAATGGCAATAAATACATACCTATCAACAATTGAATCTACAACGGAAATGCACAAGCATAACAGAAACAGACTCATAGATACAGAGAACTTTTTTATTTTTTTTATCCTCACCCGAGGACATTTTTCCATTTTTTGTTCAGATAGAGTGGGAGGGAGAGAGGGAAAGAGAGAGAGAAACATCGACGTGAAAGGGACACATCGAGTGGCTGCCACCCACACGACCAGCCAGGGCTGGGGACAAACTGCAACCAAGGTGTGTGCCCTTAGCGGGAACCAAACCCGGGTCTCTCTGGACCGCAGGCTGATGCTCTAACCACTGAGCAAAACCGGCCAGGGAGATACAGAGAACTTTTTGTTGGTTGCCAGATGAAAGGGGGATTGGGGGGATGGGTGAAAAAGGTGAAAGAATTAAGAAGTATGAATTGGTTGTCAGACTTACCAACCTCAAAGGGAAGGGGGAAGAGGGATGGGGGGCTGGAAGAGATAAACCAAAGAACTTCTGCACATATATGCATAACCAGTGGACATAGACAATAGTGTAAGGAAGGCAGGAGGAGGGCAGGAGCCGGCAGGAGCCGGGTGGGAGCAGGGAGGAGGTGGTCTATGGGCCAAAAAAAGAGACATCTGTAATCAATTCAACAATAAAGATAAAGTTTTTTTAAAAAGTTATTTTATTTTAGCTTAAAGGTGATAAACCCATCTTCGTTCCCTACAGCAATGGTTTATTTAACCACAAAGTCTTAATTTAATGTGCACACTTCAACTGCAAATGCTAGAATAATTTTTTGTTGTTTTTAATCCTCACCTGAGGATATTGTTCCATTGGTATTTAGTTAGAGTGGAAGAGAGACAGAGAGAGCGAGAGAAACATGGATGTAATAGAGACACATCAATTGGTTGCCTCCCGCACACCCCCGACCAGGGCCAGGGATCAAACCTGCAACCTAGGCACATGCTCTTGACTGGGAATCAAACCTGGGACCCTTTGGTCTGCTGGCTGAGGTTCCAAAGCGGCCAGGGCTAGAATTTAAAAGTGTAATGGTATAGCTGGGTTTATATTTTCCTGGTTTGGTGACACTAAGTAATATTGGATTGCTTACTATATGTCAAATGTTTTACACATGATTTCATTTAATCTTTAAAACACTTCTTTAGCCTGGCCAGTGTGGTTCAGTGGTTGAGCATCAACCCATGCACCAAGAGGTCGCTGGTTCGATTCTCGGTCAGGGCACATGCCCAGGTTGTGAGCCTGATCCCCAGTGGGAGGCATGCAGAAGGTGGCCAGTCGATGTTCTCTCATTGATGTTTCTATCTCTCGCTTTCTCTCCCTTCTCTCTAAAATCAATAAAGAAAAAAAATTTCTAAGATAAAAATAAAACACTTCTTTAGTGGCTAAAGAATATGGGGCTTTGGAGTCAGACAGTCCTGGATTCGAATTCTAACTTTATCACTGACTAATTGTGTGTCCATGGGCAAATTTCTTAATTTCGCTAAGCCTCAAACTTCTAATCTAGAAAATAAGGATAAAATAATACCCACCTTATAGAGATGTTTTGAGAATTAAATGAAATAATGCTTGCAAAACTTTTGGCATAGTGTCTGGCACATGTTAAGTGCTCAGTGTAAGGCTTGCCTACCTGCCCTGAATTGCCTGTGGATATTGCTATTAGATTTTTTTTTTCATATAGGCAGGTGAATTTCCAAACCACTACTTTTACTGTTTGATCACTCTTTCTGTTACCTGCAGAAAGAAGAAATTATTTAGATGCCTATAAATTAGTTGTTGCTATCTACCCACCACCACCACCACAACCAAAAAACATTCCAGACATTCCATTCAAGTATGAATTCTGGAATGATTTTTTTCATGTTGGCAGAGTCCATGTAAAAACTCATTAAAGGCCTGGCTGGTGTGGTTCAGTGGTTGAGCATCGACCCATGCACCAAATCACCGGTTGATTCCTGGTCAGGGCACATGCCCAGGCTGTGGGCCCAATCCCCAGTGGAAGGCATGCTGGAGACGGCCAATCGATGTTCTCACTCTTCAGTGTTTCTCTCTGTCCCTCTCCCTTCCTCTCTAACAAAATCAATAAAGAAAAAAAACTCATTAAAGGATTTTGCCTTATGAATATAGTTTCTCCTACTTCATCCTCATTCCCTTTCTTTTGTCCTTTGCAGAAGTGACCCATATTTTTCTTTTATTCTTTTCCTCTTGTATGTTTGTCGGATCCTCATTCTCTTAATACTGTATATCTAAATGAAGAACAGAATTAGAACTACTTCAAAGTGGAATTTGACCAAGAATATAGCATTGATAGCTTCTCTCCTTAAGCACCATCTTCATAACTTTCCTGCCGGTGTTTGCTTATTAACCTAAATGAATCTCTACTTGGGGAATTTCAGACATTTCCTTCTCTTGCTACTTTTTCATATTTTATATGAAGTATCCTAATGCATACATCAGGATTTGGTGGCATAGTGGACAGCTGTGTGATATCTATCTTTTTGATTGATAGAAAATTTGCATATTATTGCATGATATATTCATGGTTGTTTTAGTATAACAATACTAATTTAACTTATTTAACATTGAGTAAAACTTACTTCCTGGGAGATATACCACTGTTATTCTGTGTTCTGGTACATACCACCCCTGAGCCCAGCCCCTATACCTCAGTTTGAGAAACCTATTTAGTTGTTTTTTTTTTCATCTGGATTATAAGGCCACTCTTAAACTTCTAGGGGCAAAAAAGATACAGATGAGGCCTCCAGCTGTCTCTCAGATGAGGTGGGTAGAAAAGAGCAGAAAGTTCTTACACAAGTCTCAAGGCTTAATTTATCACCCATTTCTTTTTCTCTGGAATTTGTAGCACTCCCTACCTCCATAATTGCCTTCAATTTGGTTGAACCTTAGTAGGAAGAAAGATGTGGGGAGAGAAGGGAAGCAAAATAAAGGGAGGAGAAGCAATTATAGAATCAATTGAATATAAATCCTCTGCCTAGTTCTTTGTAATCTAGCCCTATACTCTCTAATATGGTAGCCATTAGCTACACATAGTTATTGAGCACTTGAAATGTGGTTAAATACTGAAAGAGTATGAAATATTTTTTTTTCCTTACAGGCTACTGCATTGTTTTGGTAGAACTACATTTCACTTTAACTATTGGAAATTTAACATCCAAATTGAGATATACTGTAAGTTTAAATATATATACCAGATTTCAGACTTAGTATGAAAAAAAAAGTAAAATATCTCAATTTTTATATTGATTGCATGTTAAAAATGATATTTTTGATATACCAGGTTACATGAAATATATTAAATTCACTTGTTTATTTGCACTTATAAAATGTGGCATTAAAATATAATATTGCACAATAAAAATAAAGTTATATATTTACACACACACACATATATATATATATATATATATATATATATATATATATATTTACATATGTGGCTCACATTATATTGGACAATACTGATCTAGCCCAGTAAATCCAGTCTTATTTTCCATTCCTTCCTCTAGCAGGGAAGTTTCTGAGGGTCATAAAGGAGAATCTATACCTAACTCCTTGAATACAAGGGAGGTATGGCTGCTGGGGTCACTGTGAGTTATGGATTCAGAGATTCTAGTTAGGGTCTTAGAGTAGTTCCTGCTTTGCCTATTATACCTCCATTTCTTATTACCCTATAAGTACTTTGACCACAAAAGTAATACTAACTGTAGTAATATATTAACTGTTACCAAACATCATAGTATTTATGCATGTTAAATATTGATGGATTAATAGATTATAGCACTGTACATTCATGTACACTTATAATCAGCCCACTCAGCATGCTTATACACTCAGGTATAAATATTAAAGTGATCAGTTTATGAGAATCCCTCAAAGTACATATACCATACGTCTCTTTGCTAGAAGTGTTTTTTAACTTTTCAATAAATGCTATTGAATAAGTAACTTTTGTAACATATCAAGGAATTTTCTAGTTAGAAAATAAGCTTTTGTGTGTAGGGGTTGCTTTTTAATAGAATACTTGATATAGATTATAATTAAATTCCAAAAATAGTTTGCCTTATTCTATAAAAAATTTGAGGTGGCATATAACAGCCATAAAATTATGTCAGTACAAGCAGAAAAAAAGATTATCAGGAAAAAAGAATACCACAAACAGATTATAGTTTCTATAATTAACTTTCAAATTTGGTTTTAAGTTCCCTAGTAGTCAAAGCAAAATGGTATATAGGATCTTATTTCTTGGGAAGCAGAGGTATATCAATTAACCAAAGGAAGAATAGCATTTCTTAGCACTGAATTCTAAAAGCACTTTCTCATTTGAGTCACTGTCACAACATTTTGGTAGCAAGTTCACTGACATTTTACATAACTGCATCTGCTGTTGTCATCTGTTTTTATATAGAAATGAGTAAGAGTGTGATAAATAATTATATGTTTTATTTTTACAGGAATCTTGGAAAAGCAAAATGAGGCATAATCAGCTATGTTGTGAGACACCACCTACTGTCACTGTTCATGTAAAGTCTGGGTCAAGTAGATCACATCCGCCTAAAAAACCTATTAATCTGAAGCGTCCTATTTTTAAAGATAGTTGGCCAGCATCTGAAAAAAATGCACAGAATAGCAACAAGTCTAAACGCCCCAAAGGACCCTGTCTAGTTATACAGCGTCAGGAAATGACTGCTTTCTTTAAATTATTTGGTAGGTTTAAAAGAGTGTAATAGTGGTGCTTAGAGAATACTTAAAAGTGAGAGAATGTCAAGATCTATTTTATTTTCATAATAATCAAAGGATGATGTTATTTTCTGTCAGATTTCTCTTTTCCAACCAAATCTATTTTTATTTTACTTGGCCTTTTTTTTTTAATGTCAGGTTTTGTTTTCATTCTTTTGGATTAGAAATTCAGACTCATCTCACTTGTAGACTACTTAAATTTAAGAGTCAAATGTAAATTATGGGCAATTCAAATTCCTAGTATGTTTTCTTTGCCCTAAAGTTAAATACTACATAGAATTTCAGCCAAGCCAACTAATCCAATTTCATGGGTTTTTCAAGATTTTCAGTGCTATAACTGAGCAAACTGGGAAGGTTAGTCAACCCAGATAAATTTTGGTATTGTATCTGGGAAATATTGTTAAAAATTAACTGTGTTTTATTATCATACTCGTATAGTAAAAATGAGTTTGAATTTGTTTAGATCATGAGACAGTGAGTGCTACTTTGATACATTTTTTTTAAATCGCCAAAAAGAATCTTCTTCATAGTACTTCTACTGGCCATGAAAGAAAAGGGACTGTAGTTTTTTTTTGAGATAAGGTAGCAAGGTAGACAGATTCTGGTAAATATCTGTTGGAGTGAAGTCAAGTAGATACCACAATCTGTAGATCCATATAACAAGCTTCCTTGTTTTTAGAGAAAGGCAGATACATGTAAGAGAGTCAGGAACAAGAATATTAGCCCTGCCCTGGCCAGTTTGGCTCAGCGGTTAGAGCGTCCACCTGCGGTCCCGAGAGACCCGGGTTCGGTTCCCGCTAAGGGCACGTACCTCGGTTGCAGTTTGTCCCCGGCCCTGGTTGGTCGTGCGGGTGGCAGCCACTCAATGTGTCCCTTTCACATCGATGTTTCCCTCTCTCTCTCTCTCTCTTCCTCTCTCCCTCCCACTCTGTCTGTACAAAAAATGGAAAAATGTCCTCGGATGAGGATAAAAAAAAAAAAAAAAAGAATATTAGCCCTGCTTAGAGGACAGAAAAAATTTTTAAATGATTTTTGTTTGTTTGTTTAATCTTAGAGGGAGGGAGGGAGGAGGAGGAGAGAGAGAGAGAGAGAGAAAAGCATTGATGTGAGAGAGAAACATTGATTGGTTGCCTCCCATACAAACTCCGACCAGGGATCAAACCTGCAACCTGGGTATGTGCCCAGACCAGGAATTGAACCCACTACCTTCTAGTGTATGGAAAAATTCTCTTACCAACTGAGCCACACCAGCCAGGACAGGGACAGAAACATTTAAAAAACAATGAAGACAAGCTGGATGACTTTTAAAGAAAACCAAAATGAGATAAGAAGAAAAAATGTAATATAAATAGAAAAATATAAGGATATTGAGCTATAAGGATATTCCCAGTTAGGATCTATAATGCTGTTAATACAAGTTAGCCTCTCTATTAAAGTAGAGCAAAATTATTACCCACAAACTTTTTTTATTCATAACCGGTCATGAAAAATAAGAGAAAATATCTGTCTCTACCATGTTAAGTAATTTAAAAAATAGAAATGAAATCAAGGCAGATATTAATTATTCTTAAAAAATCAGTACTTATTTTTGGTACTTTTCATGTATTAGATTACATCGATATTTCTAGGATGTATAAATTAATGTAAAGAAGTTATGCTTTTTTTTTAACCCTCCCCCAAGGATATTTTTCCATTTATTTTCAGATACAGTAGGAGGGAGGGAGAGATGGAGAGAGAGAAAGAGAAACATCGATGTGAAAGAGACATATTGACTGGTTGCTTTCTGCTGGGGACCAACTGCAACCGAGGTACATGGCCCTTGGCCAGAATTGAACCCGGGACTCATTGGTCTGTGGGATGACACTCTACCGCTGAGCCAAACCGGCCAGGGAAAGAAGTTATGCTTTGTTGTTTAAAATGAAAGGGGAAAATGGAAAAAGGCAGGTTGTCTCAGATTATTTTCTGCAACTACCCATATATTTTGGAATTATATACTTTAGCTTTATAAAATTGAAATAAGTGTTTTTGACCTTTTTGTATGTTGTTTTTTGTTTGTGTTTGTTTTGTTAATCCTCACCTGAGGATATTTTTTTCCCATTGATTTTTAGAGCAAGTAGGAGGGAGGGTAGGGGAGAGAGAGAGGGAAACATTGATGTGAAAGAGACACATCGATTGGTTGCCCTTACATGTGCTCCGACTGGTGCTGGGGATTGAACCTGCAACCCAGGTACATGCTGTTGACCAGGAATAGAATTTGAGACCCTTTGGTGTGCAGGCTGACACTCTAATCACTGAGCAACACTGGCCAGGGCGAGTGTTAAATTTTTTTTAAGCATTTTTCTTTGTTGATCTTTTTTGTCATAATACTCAGTTTCTCCAAAATTAAATATTAGTTATAAATAATGAATTATGAATCATCTTTATATAGACATTTGCATGTGTATCTGGATAATAGATCATTGGACAAGGATAAATAGGAAGAGATAAGAATCTAAAAATACCCTGGGACTAAAAGGAGAAAGGATAAAACATTTAGAAAAAAATAAAACATTAGAAAACAGAGTATTAAGTCATTCTTTCTTGGTATGTGCCCTTAGTGGGAACTGAACCCGGGACTCTGGTCCGCAGGCTGATGCTCCAACCACTGAGCCAGACCGGCCAGGGCAAGTCATTATTTCTTAAAGACTGAATTCCCTATCAGATTCCATTTCCACCTGTTAAAGATTGATTTTGGAAAGTAATGAAGAGTTAATCTAGAGTTACCCAAGACATATTTCTCAAAGAACTACTGGGATATTCAATAAATCAAAAACTTCTACCATTCCCACTCTAGACTGAGCTATAAAGGCAAATCAGATGATAAAAGAATAAAGCAGTAATTTTTTGTACAGTGCTTGCAATGGTAAGTAACCAAAGGACTGAAAAACTATACCTCAGACAACAGTGGTTCAGCCATTTTTGTTTGACTTCTAAGCATTATTGATAATCTCATTATGTAGAAATTCTTCAAAAGGAAACATTCTATCTTTAAAAGACAAGTCATAGCTATCTTTTGTTGTAGATGACGATTTAATTCAAGATTTCTTGTGGATGGACTGCTGCTGTAAAATTGCAGACAAGGTAAATTTAGTAAATTATTAAACAATGTTATATTACTAGACCATCAGAACTTTAATGAAACCTTATAAGAATTGTCTTTTTATTGAGTTTAAGGAAAAACTAGCCTGCATTGCTCCTTCAAAGTGGAATTCTTACACATTAATTTTTTAAAATTAGCATATACTATAGATTCCTTCTAGATAGATAGATAGATAGATAGATTCCTTCTATATATTTGAGGAAATGTAGAATATTATTGATTCGATTTAAAAGACCCTAAGACTTACTGTTTGATTGAAAACAAGAATCAGTATAGACTTAATATGTTTTTTTCAGGCTGCGGAGAAAAAATATTCTGAGATTCATTTCATTAAAGCAGTCTGTTATACATTTTAGTATTTTGTAGGTAATTTAGATAAAACAAATTAGCTTATCATGTTCTTTATGAATCAGTGTTTCATTAAAAAAATCATACTAACTTGCATACTAGTGACTGTGCTGTTTCTATACTTTATAGATTTAGCTGAATAGTTACAATTTTAGCTTTGAAAATGCCATCTTAGATTAGGTAATTATATCATAAAATTCAGCATGACTTCATATCATACTTAATGTGCCAACTGACAAAACGGAATGAATGGAAAACAGCTTATGATTAAATACCCATTAAGTTAATATTGGTGTGAACTATTTAAATTTTCAGGTTTAAGACAACAGAAATAAAATTGGAGAAGTTTTGTTTTTTAATTTTGGAAAATTTCAGCCATACACAATTTAGGGTAGAGATTAAAACAAAGGACACTCTACGTGCCTATCCGCCAACTGTTGGCCATTGTTATTTCTTCTAATTCCGCTCCCCAAAAGCAGATATCCCAACACTTTACCTGTGAATATTTCAAGATGTATCTCTAAAAGATTATATCTTTTTAAATGTAATCACAATGTCACTAATACTTTTGAAAATGAGCAGTAATTCCTTAATAGCAAATATCCAGTTCATGTCATGTGGCATAGTGTTAAACTTGAACGATATTAACTGCATTATTGTAAAGTTGTTGGAAGCAGGGGGAAGTGCTTTTAAAGTAAGCTACCAGGAGCACTGTATTTTAACATTATTACATTGAAAACTTGGCATCGCCTTTATGGCCAATCCTGTGAAGGTAGGATAAATAGGCATTTTGTGAGAAGGAATCTAGTACATCAATATTGTAACTTGTTTTTAAGTTAAATAGTGAGAACTTGGCATAGTGTCTTTTTTTTTTTTTAATCTTCACCCGAGGATTTTTTCCATTTATCTTCAGATAGAGTGGCGGGGGGAGAGAGGGGAGAGAAAAACATTGATGTGTCCACACTGACTGGTTGCCTTCTGCACAACCCTGACCAGGGCTGGGGACAAACCGTACATGCCCTTAGCAGGTATTGAACCTGTGATTCATTGGTCCATGGGCTGATGCTCTAACTTCTGAGCCAAATTGGCCAGGGCTGGCATAGTGTCTTTTTTTTTTTGGTACGTGCCCCTAGCGCGAACCGAACCCAGGACTCTCTGGTCCATAGGCCGATGCTCCAACCTCTGAGCCAAACCGGCCAGGGCTGGCATAGTGTCTTAATGCCAGGATGGACAACCATCTTTTAAATAATACACTTAAAACACTTTTTTTCAATGAAAATAAAGCCATATTATTCTAATGTTTTATTAGGAGTTATTTTTAAAAGATTATCTTAAAAAGTGAAGATGGATGTCTGTAACTAAAAGGATTTGGGGTGGGGGGAAATGCACATGAAGCCAATGTGGCAACTTTTAACAATTGAATCTAGGTGAAGGATATATGTTTATTCATTTTATGATTATTTGAACTTCTCTCTAGGTTTGAAATTTAGATAGAATAAAATTGGGTTTTTAGTTAAAAAATGTTGGCAATAAAATTTAGAAATTCATTCTAGTTATAATTTTAATCATGATAAATGCTCACTAATTATTTCTCACTGTTCACATGGATTACAGGAAGCCAAAAAATAAGGACTCAAATAGGTATTTCTGTAATAAGGATAAATAATGCTTTATTGTTTTAGCTTATTATTCATCTTAAAGGTAACTATTTTAAAGCAGTTTACTTACTAAAGCATTAATATTGACTTTTAACTTTTTTCCCCCTATAGTATCTTTTGGCTATGACCTTTGTTTATTTCAAGAGGGCTAAATTTACTATAAATGAGCATACCAGGATAAATTTTTTTATTGCTCTGTAAGTATGTTTTCTACTGTGATCTTTTTTTGTTTTTAGCTATATATAATATATATGATACTTTATTTAAAATAGAGGCTGTTTAAAACCTGATACATATATATCTTTGACTAGACCTTCCTGTATAAAAGCTATACATTTTTTACTTTAATAGGATATTTTCTTTTCACTGATCTTATCTTACTTTATGCCTAAAATTTATTATTCAATATTTCACTTGAATTTGATTGTACCATTTACATTTTTCAGTGTTTCATATAAATTGTCCCAAATTCTCCCCTTTTGTACTTAGTTTTTTTTTTGTTAATCTTTACCTGAGTCTACTTTTTTTTCAATTTTTATTAATTTATTTTTGCTACAGATGTTTCTCCCCCCCCCCCAGACACCCTCCTCCCCATACCATCCCCCTATCGTCCCAGCATTGTTATCTATGCCCATTGGTTATGCATACATGCATATAAGTTCTTTGGTTCATCACATCCATCAACCCCGCTGACCTCCTCTGAGGTTTGTCAGTCTGAATCATACTCCTTTCTATGTCTCTGGGTCTATTTTGTTCATCAGCTCACCTTGTTCATTATATTCCACAAATAAATGAGATCATGTGGTATTTGTCTTTTTCTGACTGGCTTATTTCACGTAGCCTAATACTCTCCAGGTCCCTCCATGTCGCCTCAAGGGTAAGAGAGCTTTCTTTCCTATAGCTGCATAGTATTCCATTGTATATATGTACCACAGCTTTTTGATCCACTCATCTATTGATGGACACTTGGGCTGTTTCCAGATCTTAGCAATTGTAAATAGTGCTGCTATGAACATAGGGGTACATATATTCTTTCTGATTGGTGTTTCAGGCTTCTTAGAATATATTCCTAGAAGTGGGATCACTGGGTCAAATGGAGGGTCAATTTTTAATTTTTTGACAAAACACCATACTGTTTTCCATAGTGGCTGCACCAGTCTTCATTCTCACCAACAGTGTACTAGTCTCCTTTTCTCCACACTCTCGCCAGCATTTGTTATTTGATGACTTTGTTGATGGAAGCCATTCTGGCAGGTGTGAGGTGATACCCCATAGTTGTTTTAATTTGCATCTCTCTGATGATTAGTGATGTTGAGCATTTCTTCATATGTCTCTTGGCCATTTGTATGTCCTGTTTGGAGAGGTGTCTATTCAGCTCCTCTGCCCATTTTTTAATTGGGCTGTCTTCCTTTTGTTGAGTTGTATGAACACTCTATGTATTTTGTAAATTAACCCCTTATCTGATGTATCATTGACAATTATGCTCTCCCATAGACTGGGTTCCCTTTCAATTTTGATGCTAGTTTCTTTTGTTGTGCAGAAACTTTTGAGTTTGATGTAGTCCCATGTGTTCAATTTTGCCTTTGTTTCTGTTGCCTTAGGTGATGTATCAGTGAAAATTCTGCTGCGTATGATGTCTGAAATTTTGTTGCCTACATTTTCTTCTAGGATTTTTATGGATTCATGAGTCACATTTAAGTCTTTTATCCATTTTGGGTTTATTCTTGTGTATGGTATAAGTTGATGGTCTAGTTTTATTGTTTTGCATGTAGCTGTCCAATTTTCCCAACACCATTTATTAAAGAGGCTGTCTTTACTCCATTGTATGCTCTTGCCACTTTTGTCAAATATTAATTGAGCATAATGTCTTGGGTCAATTTCTGGGTTCTCTGTTCTGTTCCATTGATCTATCTACCTGTTCTTGTGCCAGTACCAGGCTGTTTTGATTACATTGGCTTTGTAGTATAACTTGATATCTGGTATTGTGATCCATCTACTTTGTTTTTTGTTTTGTTTCGTTTTTTTTCTCAAGATTGCTATGGCTCTTCGGGGTCTTTTTTGGTTCCGTATGAACTTTTGAAGTATTTGTTCTAGTTCTGTGAAATATGTCATTGGTATTTTGATGGGGATTGCATTGAATCTATAGATTGCTTTGGGTAATAAGGACATTTTAATGATGTTAATTCTTCCAATCCATGAACAGGGTATGTGCTTCCACTTTTTTATGTCTTACTCTATTTCTTTTTATTTTAACTCATCTTTATTATTGAATGTATTACAGATGTGCCCTCCTTTTTTTTCCCATTGACCCCCTTCTCCCCAATCCCACCCTCCTCCTGCCTTTCCCACACTATTGTCGGTGTCCATTGGTTATGCATATATGCATAAAAGTTTTTCGGTTTATCTCATCCCACACTCTCTTCCGCCCCCTTTCCCTTTGAGATTCATCAGTCTAACAACCAATTTATACTTCTTAATTCTTTCATCTTTTTCACCTATCCCCCTAGTCCACTCCTGTCTGGCAAGCAATAAAACATTCTCTGTTTCTGTGAGTCTGTTTCTGTTCTGCATGCTCATTTTGTTTGTAGATTTAATTGTTGATAGATATGTATATATTGCCATTTTATTATTCATATTTTGGATCTTCATTTTCTTCAAGAAGACCCTTCAGCACTTCATATAATACTGGTTTGGTGGTGATGAACTCCTTTAGCTTTTTCTTGTCTGGGAAACTCTTGATGCCCATCAATTCTAAATGATAGCTTTGCAAGATAGAGTAATCTTGGTTGTAGGTGATTGCTTTTTATCACTTTGAATATCTCTTGCCACTCCTTTCTGGCCTGCAAAGTTTCTTTTGTGAAATCACCTGACAGTCTTATGGGAGCTCCTTTGTAGGTAACTAACTGCTTTTCTCTTGCTGCTTTTAAGATTCTCTCTTTGTCTTGAGCCTTTTGCATTTTGGTGATGTGTCTTGATGTGGACCTCTTTGGGTTCAACTTGTTTGGGACTCTCTCTGCTTCCTGGACTTTTATGTCTGTTTCCTTCACCAAATTAGGGAAGTTTTTTGTCATTATTGTTTCAAATAGGTTTTCAGTTTCTTGTTCTCTCTTCTCCTTCCGGTACCCCTATGATGTGAATGTTGGCACACCTGAAGTTGTCCCAGAGGCTTCTTACACTATCCTCATTATTTTGGATTCTTTTTTCTTTTTGTTGTTCTGATTTTTTTTTTTTTTTTTTTTTTTTGCTTCCTTATATTCCAAATTGATGGTTTGCTTCTTGGCTTTACCGACTTTACTATTGATTCCCTGTAAATTCTCTATTTCAGTTAGTGCAGCCCTCATTTCTGACTGGTCCGTTTTTATGTTGTTGATGTTCTCACTAAGTTCCTTGAATTTCTCAAAAAGTTCCTTGAGCAACCTTATAACCTGTGTTTTGAACCCTGCATCTGATTGATTGCTTACCTCCATTTTATTTCATTTAGGACATGTTTTTTTGTCTCCTCATTTTGGCTGCTTCCCTGTGATTGTTTCTATGTATTAGGTAGAGTTGCTGTGTCTCCTAGGCTTCATAGGGTGGCCTGTTGTTGTAGGTGTCCTGTGGGATCTAGTGGCATAGTCTTCCTGATCACACCTGCTGGGCCCTTGAGGTGTACTCCTAGTGTGGGCTGTACACCCTTCTGTTGTAATTGAGTCTTGATTGCTGTTGGCACATCAATGGGAGGGATTTACTCAGGCTGATCAGCTGCAAGGACTGGCTGTGCCCACTGGCCCTGGCCTCTGACTCCCTTGGAGGAGCAGCTGTTCAGGGCCCATCACACAGAGCAAGACTTACTTCAGCAGGGCTCTGGTACCCACTGAGTCCACTCATTGAGTGTGTCACCTGTAGAGATGGTTGGGTGGTGGTGATTTGATGTGGTCTGAAGCCATCCACTGGGTGTGCTGGCTGTGGGGAAGGTCAGCCACTGCCTGTGTTCTATCCAGGCCCACCCGGCACAAGCTACAAAGTGATCTGCAGATGGCTGCTTCTTGTGCTGGGCTTAGAGGTATCCAGGAAAAGCCAAGTTGTGAACCAAGGTTGGCTGCTTCTAGTGCCAGGCCTGGGGCCACTTAATGAGAGGTATGGGGCTTGCTGAGACCACATGCTGCTTGTTTGATGGATTTTAGAAAAACCTGAAGCAGGATCCAAGACAGGCCAATCCTATGGTAAAGCCTTTGGAAACAGCTTAGGTGGGCCCGAAAATTGTGTGGGGCAGGGCCTCAGGGAATCACCAGGGCAGGGCAAACAGTGTGAACCAGGTTGCTGGAGTCCATTATATAGTGGCTGTCTGCTGACCCAGGGAAGGACTCACCAAAGGAACAGTGGCCTCCGCCAGCATGTCTGTCCAGGAGAAAGCCGCCTCTCCAGCCCTTTCCAGTCTCTCCTGAGGCCAAACAGCACAACTCTTCCCTGTATATCTCTGTTGCCCCTCAAGCTGCCTCCCCTGCGACCTTACAGGGAGCACATCCGAGTAAGTCCATGTGCGGGCTCTTTAAGAGGAGCTGCCTTACCCTGGCCAGTTTGGCTCCGCGGTTAGAGTGTTGGCCTGCGGATCAGAGATACCCAGGTTTGGTTCCCGCTAAGGGCATGTACATTGGTTGCAGTTTGTCCCAGCCCTGTTTGGGGTTGTGTGGGTGGCAGCCACTCAATGTGTCTCTCACATCGATGTTTCTCTCTCTCACATCGATGTTTCTCTCTCTCTCTCTCTCCCCCCCCCCCTCTCTCTCCCCCTCCCTCCCTCCCTTTCTTCCTCCAGCTCTATCTGAAAATAAATGCAAAAAAATAAAAGGAGGAGCTGCCTGGGGCTTCAGCAGCCGCAGCCTCCCTCAGCCTCAGTTCCCACTGGTTTTTCCAGCCCGAAGTTATGGGGACTTCTCTTCCTGTCACTGGAATCCTGAGCTGGGGGCTTGGTGTGGGATGGGGACCCCTCACTCAGGGAGGAATTTCCCAGCTGTGGTGTCCCTCCTGATTTTTATCTGCCATACGTGGGTGAGGGACCAGCCTGTCTGTGCCTCTGCCCCTTCACCCCTCCTACCAGTCTTGATGTGGCTGCTTCTGCTTCTTTAATTTTGCAGTTGTAGTACTTCCATTCAGCTCGATGTCAGGCAATTCTGAATGATGGTTGCGTTGTAGTTTAGTTGTACTTTTGATATGGTTGTGG